CAGGAGATTGGATCGATGGGCAGAACACTTTAGGGATCAGTTCAACTGGCCTTCAGCCACACTTCGGTTTCCCACGATCTCCAGTCAACCTGAATGGCAAGTTAATGTAGGTCCTCCGCTCTTTACGAAGTTGAAAAAGCCATAGGAAATCTGAAACGAGGGAGAGCAGCAGGCCCTGACAGGTTTACTCCTGAGATTTTTAAGGATGGTGGTCCAGTATTAGCAATGAGATTAACTGAGGTCTTAGGTAGAATTTGGGAACTGGACGTAATCCCATCTGACTGGTCTCAATCACTGATTGTGCCAGTTTTAAGAAAGGACAAAAGTCCTCTTGTGACAATCACAGAGGAATCAGTTTGACTAATATAGTGTCTAAAATATTAGCTTCAATAATACTTCGACGCCTAACAAAGCTCGTGAAGAGCAGACTAGAGAAAACCAGGCTGGTTTTCGACCTGGACGTGGTTGTATAGATCAGATATTCACACTACGTCAGGTTCTAGAACACAGACACACATTCAGACGCCCCACAATGGTAGTATTTCTCGACCTTAAGGCGGCATTCGACTCTGTTGATCGTGAGGTTCTATGGCAGTGTTTGTCACTGAAAGGAGTACCAAAGAAGTACATTAACCTTATAAAGGCTCTCTACTCGAACACAACTGGTCGAGTGAGAGCTTATGGCGAACTGTCATCAGAATTGATTACCTCAAGTGGTGTTCGTCAGGACTCTTCACTCTTTCCATTCTTGGTTAACTTTATCGTTAACGCGCTTTTAGAGATAACACTTCCCTCATCTAAATTTCCAGGGGTTGAACTTCTACCGAGAGATTCACTTGTTGACTTAGAATATGCTGATGACAGTTCTATTTGGTGAAGTGTCTGACAAAATGCAGAGTCTTCTGACCAATCTAATCAACAATGCAAGCATGTTCGGGATGCGATTCTCCCCCTCGAAATGCAAAATGTTGCTTCAGGATTGGGTTGCATTGACACCCGAACTGATGATAGGGAGGAAAGTAATTGAGCTTGTCGACCTCTTCGCTTATCTTGAGAGTCTCATCAGCCCTTGTGGTCTGGTGTGTGACGAAATCTCAGCACGGATACAGAAGGCTCGACTAGCTTTTGCCAACTTGTGTCATTTATGGCGTAGGCGAGATATCCGTCTATCAACCAAAGAACGTGTTTGCTGCGCAGCAGTTCGTTCCGTCCTACTTTATGGCAGTGAAACATGGCCGGTAAGAGTAGAGAATATTAGCAGGTTACTAGTATTCGATCATAGGTGTCTTCGAAACATTGCTCATATATCCGGGGACCATGGAGTAAGTAATGTAGTTGTTAGGAAACGGGTACTAGGTAAGGATGGCAAATCGATTGATGAAGTAGTGAAACTTCATCAGTTGAGATGGCTGGGACATGTGGTACGTATGCCCAACTACCGACTGCCTCAACGTGCGATGTTCAGTGGTATAGGAGTAGGTTGGAAGAAAGCTAGGGGCGGCCAGACCAAAACATGGCACAAGTCCATGAAGTCACTGACAAGTGGACTGAGTCATATTGGTAGGTGTAGACTACCTGGTTGGGGATCGCGAGATGATAGCAACCGATGGTTAGAGACCCTGAATGACATGGTTCAAAATCGTTTGCAATGGCGCAAGTGTATCCATTCTTTGTGTTCTCCCAAACACGACCGTTGTTGCTACCTTGACGTGGTGGTCGTGCTTGCCTATCTTGATGAAGCAATCGAGCTATACTGGCTCTAATCTTCTGAATTCTTCATGTCCCTTTCTTTTTTCTCTTTCCATATTTATTTCACTGGATTATCCTCCTTGAATAACATCTTCAAACCTTAATTTTTCTGATTACAGCTTATAATTTTACTACCTCTACCACTATGTGATTTGAATTGACCACTGCATCTCCGTGCTCATGTGGTGTGGCAACTCGAACTGATGTACGTACGTACGAAGTTCTTCGATGTTACTGACTGACTGACATATCATTGCAAAATATTTGGTTTCGCTAAGTGTTGGCCATGCTTCAAATGTGTAATAACTATGTCATATTTGTTTATCCGGTTACATCTTCAACCCATATATGCCTACGTTTAACATTACTTTGACCCAATAGATTACTTTAAATGTCATTTCATATATTCGGATTATTCAAAGCCTACGTGACATTTATTAAGAGATTATTCAACATTTCAGTAGTATGCTTTGTCTTCTTGAGAATGTGTATACTGATTTTTTTTAATGAATCTCGTTATTTTTTTTCATCAGTAAATCTAATGTATCGTAGACTGTCTATATATATATATATATAGTGGTGTGAGCTACTTATATTGATATAAGTAGTATATAACGTGCGTTAAAAGAACGTAATGTCCGGCAGCAGAAGATGGCGAAGATCGAGAAAGGAAGAGCAAGAGCACAATGGAATTGTAAGAAAACGCATGTACAATGGAATGGGCGACAATGGATTAGTGTTTGCAACGGGAACAGTACAGTTTGATATGATGGAATGATATTTTGCAAATTGACGATTGACTTTATGGTATTCACATTTTATTGAGATAGTCTGTTATTTTTGTGCTAAATACAATCGATTGTCCCCACCCGTGTTCTTGTTCACTACATTTGGTGTCGCTGCCAACCAGGAGAGGAGGAGTGTGCTGTTCTGCGGACGCCGTTGCGGGCCTGGAGTTGGGGTGCCAGTTGGGGCAGTCTGGTGCGGAGAGGTGGCGTCTGGTGAAGTGTCCTGGCGGGGCTGCGTTGGCTGTAGCGGGTGCTGTCGACGGAGTGGAGCTTCGGGACGCGCGGCTGCTGGGCGGACATCGGATGTAGATGGCTCAGCAGGCCGGTGGAGTGCGGATGTCAAGCGTCCCAGGTGCCGGGTGGATGTTGGTTGTTGTTTCCCCGGCAGGTCGATAGAGCTGTGGAAGTCAGCGCGCTGCAGACTCGACATCATGACGGAGAGCGTCGCACAGACTGCAGAGACGGAGAATGTTGCACGGCGAGCATGAACCACCACAAGAACGACTGCTTTAAAGGGGGGGACGAGTGTGGTGTGAGCTACTTATATTGATATAAGTAGTATATAACGTGCGTTAAAAGAACGTAATGTCCGGCAGCAGAAGATGGCGAAGATCGAGAAAGGAAGAGCAAGAGCACAATGGAATTGTAAGAAAACGCATGTACAATGGAATGGGCGACAATGGATTAGTGTTTGCAACGGGAACAGTACAGTTTGATATGATGGAATGATATTTTGCAAATTGACGATTGACTTTATGGTATTCACATTTTATTGAGATAGTCTGTTATTTTTGTGCTAAATACAATCGATTGTCCCCACCCGTGTTCTTGTTCACTACAATATATATATGCTGTGTCCGTTTCTTATCTTCTTTTTTTTCTTTATGTGTCAATTACTAGCAGCCAAGAAGTTTCTTTTCCACTTTCACTCCCCATTTTGTTTATGCATTTTCATTTCAGCAATTTGAAATCCAATTGGTCGAATTTTGTCATGACCTAACTTTAATTACAACTGTTGACCAGATTCTTTACAAGTATCTAATATGTAATTCATTATAATATAATAAATTAAAAGACCGCACTGAGTTTATGTATTTACAATGAATAAATTGGCTATTGACTTAAGGTGCTTTGTCTCGAAAAAAATCAGAAAGATGAAGTGTTAAAGCGAAATATGGATGTAAACTAGATAGTTTAAAGAACAAGTATACGAAAGTAGTTGAAAAATTGAATAATCAGAGTTTTTGTCACAAAATGATAAGTATATTCACTGTCAAAACAGATTTTCTGCCATTACTTGTTAATGCACTGGTATGATACAATATAGAATTAGCGTCTTCCTCTGATATATTTTTAGTGAGATTGTAATATGTAATAGTGCTCAAGTCATTTAAATATTTGATTACCAACGGTTATCTCATGGGTTGGAGAATTACATCCTCGACTTTAGTTTAAAAAATCAGGTAACGTTATTATTTACCTGATAGTTTTAGTACAATAATCTACTTAGTGAATGTTAGTACTGACTGAGATGGTAGACTTAATTATATAAGCAAAGTATAGTGTCGCAGTGGTATTGTTACGGCACTGTTACGACAGTAGTATAGTTTCAGCCAGAAATATGATGGTTACGGTAGTGTATTTTGATTATGTTTCTCCATCCATATACATGAGTTTTATGATTTTTCTTCACTACTTACATCTGTTGCCCCTCGTAGAGGAACATAGACCACCCATCAGTATTCTTCATTTAACTCTGTCCTGAGCAATCCTTTCCAGTTACCATTCATCCTTTTCATGTTTGCTTCCAATTCTCGTCTCAGTGTGTTCTCTGGTCTTCCTCTTTTCCGTTTCGCTTCCGGATTCCGAGTTAGCACTTTCTCCGTGCTGTAGTTTAGTGATTTACGCAATTTATGTTGTCCATTTCCAACGGCTTTTTTAAATTACCTCCTCATCTGGAAGCTCATTCGTTCTCTCCCACAATAGGCTGTTGCTGCTGGTATCCGATCAACGAACATTAATTATCTTGCGTAATCAATTATTCATAAATACTTGTATTTTTCTGGTGATGGATGTAGTAGTTCTCCACGTTTCATCTCTCTACAGTACAACTGTATTGACATTCGTATTAAAGATTCTGACTCCTTTTATTAAATTGTCAAAACTTGGAGTGATACACCGTCCTACTAAATTGTTTATCAGTTGAGTCACACAAAATATTAGTAGTTAGTAACTTTCGTGTAATTGTGGCAGAAATAGTTAACTCATGAAATAGAACTGCTACTAATTACTAATCAGTATCGTTAACTTAATTTTCACTCCTGTTCTGCCTAATTGAAGACGTGCTCAAATGAATGATTCCTCCTAATGGTATGGTGTATTTTCAGTCGCTATTGCATTATTATTACATTTCATTGCAAGTTTTCTTATTTTTTTTATATTTTTTTTTTTTGGAATTTATAGGATGGCGCCTGAAGTGATTCATTGCGAACAAGACTCAAGTTGTACATATGATGCTCGTTCAGATATCTGGTCATTGGGTATAACAGCTTTAGAAATGGCTGAAGGTCGACCACCATTATGTGAAATGCATCCAATGCGTGCACTTTTCTTAATTATGCGTAACTCACCACCTCGATTAAAACAATCACCGAACGGATCTAGACATTGGACACCAAGATTTCATGATTTTGTCAATAAATGTTTAACTAAAGATTTCCATAAACGTCCAAATACATCAGAATTATTTCGGCATGAATTCATTACAAATTTACCAAATGAACGACAAATTAGAATTCAACTCAAAGATCATATAGATAGACATAGACGAAATAGGCAAAGTAAATTAATTAACTTTTCGTTACTTATTATGACTTTATGAAAATAACACTATTCTATATCTTATTACAGTGTTTTTACTTCACACCAGTCACTAGAGGATTAATGACATTTTTGTAGCTTTAAAAGACTGAGTGCATTGTGACAACATAATACATGATAAAACAGAACAAGTCATCCTACATAAATTTATATGTAGGTCAGCGGTTAAATTTTTAGTGTTTTCCTTAAGTGCATTATTTTGATATTTTCAGTATTCATTTATGGATCTGATTGTTATAAGTGATATCTTTAATAGAGGCCAATTTGTTGAGAAAATATTTTTTGAAACATTATTTGAGAAAGTTATATTTGTTTATGATACCTTGAACATATTTGCTAGTGACTTTAAAGTGGCTGGAATATCGATTAGTTGAGTCAAAACTATCATAAGTTCTACTCAAGTAAGTTCATTGAGGATAAACAAAGTAAAAGTCAGTCGTCAACCGAACTACACAGTTCTATTGACACTACGATGCAGGTCCGTATCCCATCGGGGATCATTAGTTCCCTCACTATTACAGATATTCGTTGCTTCCTATTGTCTTCAACCATTTCTCACGCTTAAGAGCTCGGATTCGTTAAATATAATTTGTTACACTCATATAGATATTTTTTTAAAAGGTTATTTATCCATATACATAATATTGTTGGAAAATTGATGAAAATTGAAATCTGTAAAAAAAGAATAACCATTTATCTTCCGAATAAAGCTTCAACACTTTCGTAGAATTAAATAATAAATCAACGTACGCATTTCCAGGACATAATAAAATCATATCAAGGATAAATTAATGGTCTTTTCAGTGAAAACATTTCCAAACATTGAAATTATCGGGTTTAAGAGTTTTAGTTTATTATGATTACATTAAATAGGTGAAGGACAATCGAAATGAAATAACTTATGGTCGGTCATATCGTACATTAAAGTCTATATATTGTACTTTATTTTTAAACGAAGTAACGCTATTATTCCTTTATTATACGGTCACAAACGAATTAATTACTTTTTGTTCTGATAAACAAAGCATCTCGAAATTTCTCTTTAGGTAGGTGATATTAAACTTCATTTCGATAATTCTTGATCATTTAGATTGATACTGATTGCCGAACGATTATTCTACTGAAGTAGTTAGAACATGGGTTGCGTTAACCCGAACACTTACGTACCTCGACGGGCGATGTTTGTTAGTGTGTAAGTAGGTTAGAATAAGCTAGGATCAGCCACAATAAGACATGGCATCGATCCATGGAGTCATTGACAGCTAGTCTATGTCATGTTAGTTGACGCTGACTAGTACTATTTTGTGTGACGATCCACAATGGCGTTTGTGTATATTTTAACTCGTGTGGTTCAGCGCTACAGTTATAGACTTTACTAATCGACTGTTCGGAATACATCTGACTCCTGCATGACTGAATTTTTTAAACTAAATAGTTATGAAATAATGATCATTTTTGTAATATCTATTTGTTAGTACTGACTAAATTTTACGTATTAAATTTGTTTTACGAGTATTTATCTAAGTAGCATAAATGAGAATAGTGAAATATTTACTTGAATAGTGAATAAATACCACAGTTTTCTGTCAGTTTTGCTTCGTATTTACCAAGTTTCCTTATCTATAAAGGTTATTCTTAGGTGAATTACAGTTAAGTATTTTGTCTGATTTTTGTTTTCTTCAACTGATCAATCCTATATGATGATACAGCAAATTAAGTAATATTTGAAGCAAGTGAGAACGTATAGGCAGTATTTTTAAGGTGCAGGCTTCTTGATACAGTGGTATTCCAAAGTTTGGAAAATTACTGTCCGTTAAGTAATGAGGAAATCTACGGCGAGACTATAGCATAGGGATGAGTTTAAAATGACCTCAACAAATTTTCATCAAATTTCTAGTCAGTCAGAAAGTAGCTTTTGTAAACAGATAGTTCGTATAAGGGAAAACATCTATTAAAGTCTCCTAAAGGTTACTCTAGCTGTAAATTGAAAAAACTACTTATAAATTCTTCCTTATGGATGTAAAATACTCATCTCGAATTTTTATGAGGACTTGAGTGGATAGTGTTAGGTATATATAGCAAGAATCAGGGGTTTAAGAACAGGATCTTCATCTCCATCTGATGTCAGATATAATCCAAAAAGTCAGACGAGCGATTTTCGTGCAAAAATACACTAGGCACTATAAATCTAAAATATAGTCTCAGTAGGTCAAGGTATTTGAGGATAGTACCAGTCCTCTGTTTTATACAATCTACAGAGAAAGGATTGTTCATTTTATGCGTTCAACACTATCATTTTCACTCTATGATTTTTCGCTATGATTTTAAATGTTTTGAGCAGTGTACGAAGATACTTTGCCTTCTCTTAATAGTTTATATTCTAATTTATCACAAAATCCTAAAAATCGCGTTTTTTATTCTGATTTGCTTCTTCCTATACTATAATTTTACCAAATCTACTTATCCTATTATAGTAACTCACCAGCAAACAGTTGTACACTTGTGTAAGTGTGGAGTAAATTTTTTGGCACTATCAATATAATCATGTTCTACTTTTTTATTTATCTCATCAGCTGAAGAACATGAAAAAATTTATGAATATGAAGGAAGTGATGAAGAGGAGGAGGAGGAAACTAGTGCAGCTGTTAAAGGAGCTGCTGCCGCTGCTCTAGCTATGTCAGCTGCTGTTAGTGGCAATGGTCAAGCACATCGTCTACCTAGTCAAATTAGCCATCATCCACCTCAATTTCGTCAACCAACGGATAAACCTCCCCATAATCAAGTGCTTCGAACTAGTGGAGTTCCTGATCAAAACGAAGTAGCATCGTTTGTTTCACAACCATCTGTATCTGGATTAAACTATAGACAACATGGACATATGATACAAAGTGGGAATATTGTAAATGATAATGTACCAGTGAATGCTCGATTTATCTCACGAAATCCTATGTCAGTAGTTAATAGGTTACCTGCTGTTACGCCACAATCAATGATGCCGCATAATAGTCGGTTGCCAAGGTTAGATGAAGGTGAGTCAGGAACTGTCAATGCTAAGGAACCAGGTGAAAATACACTTCGTCAAAATTTCGCTCGTTTACAGGTAAGTTGTTTGCTTTGTGTTTGATTCAAAGTTTTCATGTGCTTTTGGTATGATTTGTATCGAATTAGTTCTTTTCATCTCAGAATGCTTAAAAGTTATCTTTTGTTCAGGCTATTTATATTTGTAATTTTATTCTCATATATGCATACTATGCTTGCATGACAATTAGTAGTAAGACAGTTGTGTTTCGTAGCTTTTAATCTCCCTTTTAATATTTGTAGGTAACGTTACTCAAAATCTGTGATTGAATAACATAGAAATTCTCAAATCTTAAGATTAAGTCATGAAAACATGATATGTGCCACATATTTATTCTTTTCTTTAAATAATATAAGTATTTTAATAAAAGTGTGACATTTACATCAAAGCAAACTCGTGATGAATGAAATATTTACTATGTAACTGATTAAAAGATGAGTTCCTTGTCAACTCAACATCAGATATAAAACTACTCGAAATTCAAGTCCTTTCTTCTCAGCACTCGTTAATAAGTAAGCTATTGTTAGTTGTTTTAAAGATTCTTATTGTGAACGGAACATTTTTATGAGTTGAGATTTATCCCTCGGGTTTCTTTTGTCAGTGTATATTGATTTACTTGTCCAAAATTCACCTCATGATATTGTGAAAGGTATGATCAATTAATCTTTTTTAATCTATAGAACAAGTGGCCAGTAAATATCTGTATTGACGGGGAGCTTTTCGTATCCATCATTCAAAAACTAGTCTTATCGTTCCCATACAAAAGTTAGAAAGAGGTGATTTGGAAAAGAATTTTCCCGTGTAGTGAATAAATATTAGGAGAGTTATCGGTTGTTCAAAAATTTGTTAAAAATCCTTGACTTCCTAGATCCCAAAATTTCTCCAACGTATGGTTCCTAATTATAATCCAGTTGAAATTTATAAATCTAGGAGGAATCAGGAGATTAGAATTTGGGAGAACACAAAGAATGGATACACTTGCGCCATTGCAAACGATTTTGAACCATGTCATTCAGGGTCTCTAACCATCGGTTGCTATCATCTCGCGATCCCCAACCAGGTAGTCTACACCTACCAATATGACTCAGTCCACTTGTCAGTGACTTCATGGACTTGTGCCATGTTTTGGTCTGGCCGCCCCTAGCTTTCTTCCAACCTACTCCTATACCACTGAACATCGCACGTTGAGGCAGTCGGTAGTTGGGCATACGTACCACATGTCCCAGTCATCTCAACTGATGAAGTTTCACTACTTCATCAATCGATTTGCCATCCTTACCTAGTACCCGTTTCCTAACAACTACATTACTTACTCCATAGTCCCCGGATATACGAGCAATGTTTCGAAGACACCTATGATCGAATACTAGTAACGTGCTAACATTCTCTACTCTTACCGGCCATGTTTCACTGCCATAAAGTAGGACGGAACGAACTGCTGCGCAGTAAACACGTTCTTTGGTTGATAGACGGATATCTCGCCTACGCCATAAATGACACAAGTTGTCAAAAGCTAGTCTAGCTTTGGTTAGGCGTCGAAGTATTATTGAAGCTAATATTTTAGACACTATATTTGTCAAACTGATTTCTCTGTGATTGTCACAAGAGGACTTTTGTCCTTTCCTAAAAACTGGCACAATCAGTGATTGAGACCAGTCATCAGAAGGGATTACGTCCAGTTCCCAAATTCTACCTAAGACCTCAGTTAATCTCACTGCTAATACTGAACCACCATCCTTAAAAATCTCAGGAGTAAACCTGTCAGGGCCTGCTGCTCTCCCTCGCTTCAGATTTCCTATGGCTTTTTCAACTTCGTAAAGAGTCGGAGGACCTACATTAACTTGCCATTCAGCTTGACTGGAGATCGTGGGAAACCGAAGTGTGGCTGAAGGCCAGTTGAACTGATTCCTAAAGTGTTCTGCCCATCGATCCAATCTCCTGGATTGAGAATGTATAATATGTCCATCTTTCTCTGAGATTATTTCGCTAACAGTCGGTTTCCTAATACCGGTTTCCCTAACGAGTCTTAACAGTTGTCTGCTATTACCTATTGTCGCTGCCTTGTCCATCTCTCTTGCTTTCGCTACCCACCACTGTTCACGATCATTGCGTAGACTTCTTGTCAGCTTGCGTTTAAGCTGACTCCGCTCTTCATTATGTTCAGAGCCAGATGGGATGTGTTTTCGAGCACCTATCAGTGTGGTAGATGCTGCTGAGGTCCAGTGTTTCTCCCTAACCTTGTAGTTTACCTTACTAGCAGATATCACTGTTGTTTCCACAGGTTTTCGGATATCATTCCATGCTGCCTCGGGTTGGGCATCACATATATGGCTGCGTAACTGTTCTCCTAGTTGTTCCTGAAATATACTCTTAGCTTGACTATCATTAAGTAGGCTCCTAAGAGGTTTCCTTGCAGCGTCTTTCCTACGTCCAGTAAGATGCAGACAAATACACACTTGCAGTAAAACATGATCTGAATCTAAGCATGTGCTCCTGAATGAGCGACGGTCTTCTATCAAGCCCCTCCATCGGTGGCTGATAGCGATGTGATCTATTTGGGTCCAAAGTTTGGACAAATTCTGGCGTAATAATATTATTCAGCTCGTAGATCATTTTATATTGTCACTCAATAGAAGTACAAAAATTAATTTATCCATTTGTTGTTTAGATTGTATTTATATTGTCAAGAAAATTACTGATCAACATACTGAAGTTCGAGATTATTCTTTTTTGTGCGAAAACAAACTACATGAGCTTTCTTCATACCCTTCCAGCTAAGTGAATAAACCCGTATGGCAATGCTTAATGTAAGCGTAGTACTATTGAATACTGTTTCTAGTCAAGTGGGTTATGACATCAGGATTCTAGAGAATAGAATGAACACCCAGGTATTTCCTTTCTTGAAGCACAATCCAGCAATGAAAGTTAAATGCTCTCGTGAGAAATAATCATTGTGGCCAAAAGACCTAAGGGGTGTTTATATGGAATAATGAGTGAATAACTGATTACTGTATTAGTAGTTATTCACAATTATGTATACGTTCTGTGAATTCCTCTTGTTTCTATACTACCGTAGTGGTCAATATTTTTATCTTATAGTAATATATTCAATAAAATAAATAGTTTAAGATTGTTAAATAATAATTATTCGATTATTGGATCGTTCTATTTTTGGCGAGACAGCCTTGTCTAGATGAATAACACTGCTATTCATTTCATAGTTCTCAAGACCAATTCACTGTGTTTTCCCTTAAGAATTCCTATAACAACTCAGTTATAAAGGTGTGAGAGGGGGACTCAGAGATTTTAACTAGTTAATTGGTAGATTTCTCTGTGTGTTTCTCTTGCTATTAATGCTCCTATCAAATTGTTGCGATGAATGACGATTTTGATAATAGTTGAATTTTGCATGTGTGTTTATCTATTAGTTTATTTTGTTTCTTGTAAATATTTGAAATCGTATTGTATATTACTTTTGTTATACACATGTTTGTTTTTATCACATAATGTATACATTATTTATACTGCTGCATATATTTTATATAATTTATGCGCTTTGTGAATCATTAGCACGATTACATCATCATAAACATATATATATATATATATATTATATTATATATATATATATATAATAGTTTTCTTTCGTTTAATCTACTCTATTGGTTGTTGTATATTGGATTGTGTGGTTTTTAGTGTTGATTTATTTTCCTTCTGTCATACCAAATATATTTTTGTTGTTCATCATATTTAATGTCATTATTTTGAGTAAATTTTGATTATTTCTGCTTGGTTTGAAATAGAAATAAACATATTTTCATATGTATGTTTGAATTAGATCATTAACTGTTCTTATCTCATGTGTGAACTCATCTAACTCATTACATACTATTTTTAAGGGTGAATATCAAAATATCTGTTTCATCAAATTTTAACAAATGAGACCCTGTATGAAACTGATGAAATGTAGCCATCAAAAAATCGTATCTTTAATTTATGTAGCAATTAAACATTATATATATATTTATCTGTTTATCTAGTTTGAATTGTAATAATTTACTCAGATAATAACATGTTATGGTTAACAATATAAACTGATATCAATCAGTGAATTGTTCATTATGAAATTTTATTCTCTCCTCTCTCTCTCTTCCTCTATGGTTATCAAAATTTTCTCATTTCATTTAGTTGTATATATGAATTTATATATATATATATAAGAGATGGTGGAGAAGATTCGTAGCTCAGGTGGATGATTTTGATGGAGTTTTGTTCTCTGAGCTGGATGGTTTGGTCGTGGAGCTTTTATCGTTCTTCTCAACGACATCATCAGCACAAACTTCAGATAGAAGTGAAGTTTTCGAATTTCTCCATATGCGTTTCACAGCTTGTTCTATACACCTCGACGTTGATTGGTTTTTATTGAAAATACGTTTGTGTTGATGATGTTGTTCAGAAGAAAGATGAAATCTCCACGACCAAACCATCCAGCTCAGAGAACAAAACTCCATCAAAATCATCCACCTGAGCTACGAATCTTCTCCACCATCTCTTATATATATATATATATATATATATATATATATATATATGCAATGAAAAGATTTCATTGCTTCAGTAATCAATTGTGTGCACTTTTATTTATCTAAAGAATGTTTCTCTTTCATAATAAATTTTTCTACAATTCATCTTATTTATATCATCATCTGATTGAAAATCATTAAAAAAGAGAATTATTATTATTATTATTTATTGGTAATGATCCAATTTTCATGTTGGTTTGTTTTGTGTTTTTCTAATAAAAATAAACTAATGATTATTTTTCACCAAATAATGGTAATATTGAGAAAATTCTACATTTATCAATTTGTTTCATAAGGCAATTTCATGATGATGTAACAAAAATAGTGTGGTTAATAAAACCAATTTGCGTTTTTTATATTTTTAATGTGATTTTCGTTATATTATTAACATTTATTCTAATTACTATCCGAGTTTGATACACTAGATTACAAATGATATCTGATATATGTATAAAGAATGATTAAACTATCATAATCATATCTACATTGAAGTTATTACAAATCATTTTGTATAATGTTAAAGATTTAATCGTCAAATCAATGATTTTTATCTTCAATATTTTAAATTATCAGTTATATTTCTTCATTATAATGCTATTTAGACTTTTAGATAAAGTTTTAATATCACTGGGAACTTGTGATTATTAAGTGACTCAACAAGTAATACATAAACTTAAATATTTTATTTCAACACATAAATATTGGTACAAGAGGGCACCAAATATATATGCGCCACACCATATTTGTGTATGTGCGGGCTGTGATACTACCCGGCTGCCCAGACCAAAACAGGTGGTTTTCTTAGGGGACTACACCCTGAGCCTTCGACCTATAGGTCTAACCCACAAGGCAGTGGAGCATCGTGAGAAGATGCAGTCCCATGGTAGCCGGTGACCAACGATTGGTTCATACGCCATTTGTTCCCACAGGATACTGGAGCCCATGTGCACCATTGTTTTGTGATCCGGTTAAAGCGCCGGACATTCGCTTTTCGTCCTCTCATTTTCGTAAACAACACCCCCGCCACGAGAAGGCAATGAGCAGGACTCCCCTGGCAGAGGCTGTATACGCGTGGCCGTGTGAGAGCATTTCGAGAGGGAGGGCGGGCCTATCCTACTCTCGGCCTTATTAGGGCATTTGGGGGCCAACAAGTAATACAATGGGTAACCAATCAATTTCAGGTACTTACTAGTAAATAAAATTAATTCGTCAGTTGGATAAACAATCTGATACATGTAAGGGGGTTGGTGCAATTAAAATTGTAGGGAAATATCATTTATGAGGTTTAAACAATAACTAATTAGCCTATGTGTAGAATTTCACCATTTAGGTAGTAATTCCAGATGACAGTAATTCATTCTTAAAAAAGTGATTGATTCATGATATTTCAGTTTACTTGTTGGATTTAGTGTAGAATATAGATAGTGTTCGGAAGGTTGCAGTATTGTTTGTTAATATGATTAATTCTTGAGCATAGTATCTACTATCTGTTGCTTTGAATACTCTATTATTTTACGCTCATTTTCTGTCTATTTAAAGCCTAGAATTTGTGCCATCTGAAGAAAATTATTATTTAATATAATTTGTTCAGTTTTCAGTCATCTAAAGCTGTTACTATTTTTACTGTCGAAATTCAGTTTATAAAACTGAATTTAAATTTTCACAATCTCCTGTTTCAATCTATGTGTGAATATCTAATTGACTCGTATTCATATTGCTCGTTTCTACGGCACAGCCACAGGCCGTGACTAACTATATTATATTTAGTATTCTTATTTCTCCTAATGTTATTTTTGGTAACATCGGATTAGTTAACAGTTGAATAGTCGATAAATTTGTTATGATTGCAGATTAGAGCGCAGCGAATTATCGATCGGACCAAAGACGCGTAAAACACGTAAGAACGACCTAGAGTCCCGATTGGCCCTGTTTCCCTGTCTAGCCCAGCCACTTAAGTCCAGAACGCAAGTCTCAGCCTCTGATATATGAATCATTATATTTCAAGCATACTGAGTTTATATACCAAACAAACCAACCACAACGTACCAATAAAATATGAAACAACATTTGTACAAGAACTAGCCAGATGTGGCTGTGAATGAGGGAGGTAGCGATTAACAGACAGGGAATAATTCATGAATGGTAAATCGTATGATAATAGTTCATAGGTCAAAATAAAGCTCATAATAAGAGGGGCATGAATATGAATAGTTTAGTTACATAACAATTATACGATAAAAACATACTCATAATATTGGTCCATAAATAGATCCCAAAAATTACCATTCATTATTCTTATCAGGATACAACAAAATTTTAATGCATAATGTAGCAACACCAAATAATTAAATGTAGTTTTTGGAAAGTTTGATTGTTCGAAGGTTTACTGGTTAACATACAATAATGTATAAGAGGTTATGGTCAGATCTTAATAGGTTAGTTCATATGTGTGTTTTTTTAATTCTCACTTTGTTGTCTTAATTTTAATTTCATTGAATCAGTTTGTATGTGTATGCTTACGACTTCATTGATTTTCATGTTCATTTATCTGTGTTGTTTTTAAATATGCATATTTTAATTTCTTTCTTTTTACATTTTTGTTCGCACCACATATCTGTGATATTATAACATTTTTTTTATATATTATAGATTTCTCATACTGTTGTCATAGTATTATCAGGGAAGGAATAAATATGATTATAAAACGTTAGCCTACTTATCCTCTGTTTTACATGATTTATATAATGACCGCGTGTATTGTCAAAAACAGGTTTTATCAAATTCTGTCTGTCTATGTACGTATGCATGTAAATGTGTAAATAATCATGTTGATTTATCGTCTTCATCCTAGGAACGTGAACACCATCCATCTGTAGGTGTTGCCCCTCAACGATCTGCCAATGGACGCCCCCAATCATCTAGTCATCACTTTCCTCAACATTCACGACCTTTGAATAGTAGTCGTGGACCACCGGCATATAATCAGTCACAACAGCAAATGCATTCGAATCAACCGAAACTGGGTGTCCTAGCTGCTGGGAGTCGTCTAGCTGACGCGGGTGGTTCATCATCTTACGCTGCTACTAATACTACAGTCTCAGATACACCTACAGATAGCCAATCTGTAACTAACAATGAGGTTGTGTCCACGTCATCGTCAGTTAATAATTCGGTCACTACACCCTTATCAGTTATTGGTGCAGTTGGTGATAGTGGGCAACTTTCGCATCATTTTCCCCTACAACATCATAGAGCATCTGTGGTTAGTAGTCGTTGTTGTTCTCGTTGAACATTTCATTAAACTATGTGCTTTGACCTTTTCCCTCCTCATTTTTACTGCTGTGATTACAAAAGCTTATTTAGATAAAATGTATGCATTAAGGGAATTGGATAAGACACTTTTTGATCTCTAATTAGGATATGTATATTCTATCAGTGATCATAATTGGAAAAAGTTAAATTAATTTGAAAGCTATTACTCATAATATAAAACATAATTAAATAGTCTTTACTAGTTTGTCAAGATTCAGCATGTTCTCTTGTGTTTAACACTTAGTTCAGGATTTTTTTACTCTGAGTCATAATAAGTTGATTGAAATATACCGATTAAACTTGATAAAGTTGTTTCCGTTCTCACGTAACAAGATTCTATGTACAGCTTGGTAACCTATTGTTTCCAGTTTTATTTAGTGAATTCCATACTACTCAGTAAGATTTTAGTAACTTCAGTTTAATTCATCAGATCTTATTTCTGAGTTAGCGTTTTATCTTTACAAGCAACTTCTATCGAAGTGCTTCACTATTTGCATGATCTGTTTTCTTATTCACTTTTCTTACTGACTAATTGTCAGTGGGATATAAGTTGTTTATTTCATTTCATCAGTATAATTTAAACATTAAAATATTCTCAAATTGTGATTCAAAATCGAATTAAATTCATTTCATTGCATTGAGAAGTGTCTTTATAAATCACAGATTAACTGATCGATAATTCATAACTCAAGATGTTGTTGCCGGACATTATCCTTCAGTTTACTTTTACTATTTTTCTTCCTGTTTACTATACATTTCTTGCTATTATACATCGTTAGGTTTTCGTTAAATATTGTGTTAAATATCGACCTTTTTTGTGTGACGTAGATTTTCTCTTAGATATTGTAGCTTGCTCATTTAATAACTAGAATGTAGCTTTTCCTCTAAGTGAATTTCTCTTCAATGCAAACTTCTGTTCCTTTTATTTTGTTGAATTTGTTTTTTCTCAACATACTAAATCAAATCCATCTCATTGGAATTGTTTAGCGTTCAATTAAACTAGGTTTTCTGAAATGTGTTGTAATTGATGTATACATTATTAAAAAAAATTCATTATCATGAACTAATTCTTATAGATTAACTAAAACTAGTAGTTATTAGGTTATTCTACAATTATTATCATTAATAAGTCTAATGCCTGTTATGTTCTAAATTGATTACTATGTTCTAATGCGTTTGCATATATATAATATACCTATTCATCTGTAGTCAATCTGTATTATAATTAAGAAGTTCCAACACTCTAGACCATTTTACGTATCAATGCCAAGGTCGGACTTGATAGTTTCAAATGAGTTGAGCATTGGGTAGAAAGTTAAAAATAAATATATTTTTTATTAGATGTTAATGAGTAGGAAATTGTATTTAAACCTGTATTAATTGAATTCGGTTATTCATTCACTCTGAAGAAGTGGCTTACTTAAAGTCCCGAAACGTCAGAAATACAATTTTCTACTCATCGGGATAAAAAAATATATTTATTATAACTGTAGAATATTAATTGTAATCAATAATTATGTACTAGTTAATTCAATATTGATCAGTAAAGCAGTTAACTTTTTGCCCTGAGTTCTAAAGGTCAGCCATTTATACTTTGTATTTAATCAATCAATTTGTTGGAGAAGTTTTAGCTTAGTGTGTGTATCAAAACACTAACGATCTTAACGGTTTGTCCATAGAATGTAACTGATTTAATCCTAATTCTCGAGTATTGCTTATGTGAACGTTATTGCTTTCTGTCTATTTGCATCATGCTAAGTTATATTTTCATATAGTTTAACAAAAATGAGTGAATGACTTCTCATATCGTTATATATAAACTAACTATAGGGAGGTTGTTGAATTTTCTAGTTGGAGCCGTGGATACGCATTGCTGAAGAGTCGCATATTATGACGAAACAGTCATACAGTGCTTTTTAGTTTTAAATAGTTGTTTAATTAAGTTCAGTCCGTAATGTTAGATATAAAATATGCATACTTTTTTGGTGAAATGAATCCTCAGAATAAGTGGACAAATTTTTGTGTTCTAAAATATAGTAAGACTGTTGAGTGTAGCTAAATAGTTTCAGCACTCTTCAGTAAATCTCAATAAATCTATGTTAAAAAATCATTGCATCTCGTTAACTTTCGTCAAATTGTACCATCATCAGTGTACACATTTGCTTATCACCCAGTATTGGTTTATTGGTCACAATTATCAATTGAATATAGTTTCAAATTCCTTAAATAGTTTATTAAATCTCGATATTTTGTACTACTAAGTGTCTACATGGGGATTTAACCGTTGAGGAATTCATTTATTCATGTTACTTTTTGTGTAGATGCAAAATGTGTTTTGTATTTTTGAGTATTTTTTCAGAACGTATTTTTGAGACGATTTTGATGAAATCCATAAATACATATCGTATTTTGACTAAAAAATTGCACGCTTTGTGAATGTTGTTAGGTCACACCGCATCCAATCACACTGGAAGTTTAAATACATCTTAATAAAATTGCGTATAAAATTAAATTCAGAAAAATAATGCAAAACCATTGTAAGGAATCCATTTTATGTAGACCCACTGTTCATGATAAGTATATCACTTTAATTTTATAACGTAAGTTGTCATTTTGTATTAGACTTATATGAGTTAAAGGAACCTATTTTATTAGATTTACTGTCATGTCTTTTTCTCTGTTGAGTATTCGCCCGTATTTTCGTGTCATATAGTTCATAAGGTTTAATATACATACAAAGTCAACAACATTCTCTCGTCATTTCACTTTGTTTTCATTTCGCTTTTCTTTTTGCATGTGTAAGTTTGTCATTTAAGTTTTTTTCTTCTTTTTTCATGTATTATTGCTTGCTGTTTTTTGGCTTGACGCATGTTGATTATATTGATGGTGATGCTGGTACTATCTTTTGTAACAATTCATATGATACCTAATACTCATAGCCAAATCCTCCCAATTCTTTTCATCCGACTGTTGTTACTTCTTGTTCCTCATCGTCATCACCATCGATATTTTCAAATGATCATTTGGGCAATTTACTTATTTCACCATTTCGTGCAAAACTTGCCAATCCTGGTCCACCACCCATTCCACTTCATCAGCAGGTTCGTATTAGTAATTGCGGATTGAACGGGGGATTACATAATGCTTCAGGAGTACAACATCAAACTGATGAAGTGAATGGCTCATCTAGTATAGTTGGCATGGGTAACCCTGCTAGTTCTCGTCTTCAGCACATTGTCGCACCGAAATTTCCATCAACCCGTCCAACAAGTCAGGTATTTTAAATCTCGTATTTTTCCTCTTGAGTTCTCTAAATAATTATTATATAAACTATTTGTTTGTGTTTGGAAAATATCGTGTAGTAATTAGTTATTTAATGTCTGTCTTTGTAATAGTGATGGCACATTGTTGAAATATTTCAACTATACTTCATACAGATAAATCCAAATATATCTTAAACAAAGTGGTTTCCAACTAACTATCGGGTGAATTTTAGAATTCTTCTAATAATAAGTGACTGGTTAGATGAATCAGTTATGTTATTAATACAATGAATGAATGTATGTGGCTTTGGTACTTTATATAGCTGAAGACTGCCCTTAAACATACTAACAACTGTGGATTATTGTGTTAAAATTATGTGATTGTGAACAATCTACCCTGCTATTTGATTTGTTAGGACGCAAAGACCATCGTAACGTTCAACATTTAGAAGTAATGATATTCTCAGTCATGTCAAAATACATTAATGGGCCTTCTGTCTCATTTTCACAATCTTGTCAGTAGAACTATCGCTTACATGTAGTGAACATAATGCTTTTAACCATTTTTCCGTGTCGAAATTCACAACCATAGTTCTATAATATTAAAAGAATACGTCTTTTTTACAATCGAACTTCGATTTTGTGGCGAAAACTTTCACAAAATGAAAACAGCAGGTATTAGTTAAACTGGAAAATAATTGTTTAGAATATGAAAGATTGATAGAATTTTGGAAATGACGCTGTCCATTCCTTATGTACACGAGACTATAATTAGTTATATTTATATATGACCATTCTTCAATTTTATTATCTGCTAATTTAATATCCCTTGCCCTTTGATAGCGTTGATTTCTCTCAGTTGAATGATTTAATTAGGAAGCTTTCATTGTCATTCTGAACGAGATTTTCAGCCCCTACTTCATATTGTTCCATAAGTGCTTTATCAGTTCATTCCGATGGCTTTGTTTGTCACTTTCATATGAAGTAGGCTCGGAAAATCTTGTCCAGAATTACAATGAGAGCTCTATATTCGAACTATCTAACTCAGAAAACTCTACGTCACCAAAATGATCTTCCGGGCTGAGAATTCCCTCCACTGTTTCAAAATATCCTTTATCTCTTTGAACAGGCTGTACCACATTTGGATCTTCGTAAACCACCATTAGAATCAGCTTTACCCCAATCAATCATCACATCAACTAGTCCAGTTGTTAACCAATCCAAGTCATCGGTAAACGCAAGTATATCGAGCCCTGTTAATCGGTCTAGTGGAGCTGCGATGGCTTTTGCTGTAACAACTAGTACTGCCACCACCACAACTACGACAACATCAGTGCCGACTAGTACAACAACAGTGACGACAACAACAAGTGACGTTTTTAATTCTAACTTTGCTCGTCAATCAGCAACATCAAATTTACTATCTGGATTCAGCAATCGATCTCCAGCACACCAAATATCCTTACTTGGTGAAAATGGTTAGTTTTAATAGTTCTTTCAGCGTATTATTTGCGTGGATATGTATGTAAGCTTCATATAAACCCAAATACTACCCTCTCTGCAATGAAATTATGTCTCCTAAATGTGGCAGCATATAAGTACTTACAATTACTATCATGTAAAACTAAATATTAAAATCAATTTGCATTAGTTCATTTGTCTGTCATAGTCAACATAGAGGCCTGACATTAGTGTAATCAATGTCACCCAACTCCATTCACTGATCACTATAATCGCGCCTACCTCAACCAGACAGTATACATCTACCAACATGATTAAGTTCAACAGTCAGTGATATCATGGACTGATACCACCTTTTGATTTGGTTGCCCATAGCTTTCTTCGAACCTACTTCTATTCAAGCAACCAGCTAATTTGTTAATTGGATGAATTATCCTCAGTTTGAGCTAAAAAGATCTGTTATCCTTAAAACTGTTTCCTACAGCCATAGAAGTATCGATGTTTCTATTCATTTGAAATTGCGACAAATAGGAAGGCTGTCGTTTTGTGCATATTAATAGTTAATAAATGCATATCCCAAACTAATCAAACGTAATTAGATTACTAATCCCGTATCCTAACACTATAAAATGTTTTTAGTCTCCCTCTAATAGAATCGATCGTTTTTACAAGGAGTTATTATTGAACACGGAGAAAAATGAGGAATTTGGATCATTTCTACTTATTGTCACTATTTAGTTCCGGGGACTTTAATCGTGCATTGTATTCTACCTTTTATCATGTCTTTTGACGAGCTTTTATTATCATGTCATAATAATAGATGAACGAAAGAGTAAATGCTCTATCGGTCAATGGAATTTGTGTAGTGCTCTACTAGTGATTGTGCGCTAAAGATAACCAGATGGCTGCCAAAAATAAATCAATTAGCCGAAAAGACTTATTAATAATAAATGAATAAATTATCCATTCACATAGCAAGACCAAGAATACACATGTTTGAATAAATGGCGTGTTTCCAAGTTAATCTAAGTTACACGATTGCGAGTATCCATTTTGTGGATCAAGTAAATCATATTGTTTATCGATTACACGCGCCATGCTTTGTATCTGAAGCCGTAAAAATAAGATAAGTTACCGACTTTCGATAAAGTACAGATATGACTTTGTTTCTGACCAACCAGGTATCAAAATTCAGTTTGATATTCGACAATTGATATCTATTGAAATGGAAGTAATTTTGATAAAATGTTTTAATCATATCTGCTCATCAGTGGTTAATATATGCTTTAAATGACTGTTTAGTTAAATTCTTATGAACTGCGGTCTAACCACATGGGTTATATTGTTTAGTTGCTTTTTGTTAAAATTAAATTGATATTAATGTACGGAGATGGTTCACTAAGAATAACATAACATATCAGGTAATATTTAGTTGTAATTAAGAAGAGATGAAAATAAATGTAATCGAATTTCTCGACTTGACATTTGATTTTGATATTTAATTCAATTAGATACTCAAATTTAATACACGATATCATAATACTGTGAATAAATTTCACTTTTATTATCTAAACACATTAAACTAACAAAAAAAATTTCTACCACATAAGGCTGTTAGTGTGTTTATTGGAATTAATGCTATCAATCGAAACATTAATAAGTTATATTTTACAAAATCTAACATGGTAAGACTTTAATTTATGGACGACCTTTGTGCAACGTCAAAATAACCTTAGAATGTTCACTTATCAAGGTTAAATGAAGGTTATATATTAGTATGAGGAATTAAGATTAGGATTCACAATTGAATGTTAGGGCGAGGAATTAGAATGAACATTTTCATCATGAACTGACATCAGCTATAATGCCAAAATGGTATTTAGCCAAATGAGTGAATGAATTTCGCGCCAAAATCCAAGATTTACTATCTTAAATGTGATTTATTCGTCCATAAATTATAGTCTCGCTACTAACATTACTCATTCTACAATACAGTTAATGAAAAAACACACAACAAAATTAACCAAATAAAGATAAATTCTGAAAATAGTCTTTCTTCCTTTATAACTGTAGGATAATCACTGTTAATTCTTTCTTTCGCTAAACCTTTGTTTCTATTATATTGATAGATAAAACATTTTAAAGAAAAGAAATTAACTAGACTTACAAAAAATGACACAAACAGCTATCGAATTTTCGCTTTACTTTCAGTAAAATACATATTTTTTTTTATTAAAAAAAGATACATTGTGTTTCTCTCACTTTTATAGATATGTAAGTTGAGCTCATCATTTTAAGAAAATATTTCATTCCTATTTACAATATTGATTTTTCTTTAATGATATCAATCGGAAATTATTGTATCATATTAAGTAACTATGCTTCATATGTTCCGTCTTATAATTTATCATCTTTTTTTTTGTTTTACAATTTCAAAACCTAAAATTAGCTGCTTTATATTTTCGTTTCCTAAAATACCAACTTCATTTGGATGGTAGTCAAAATAAATGTTTTAAATACAAAATATCAATCGGAATAGTTTATCCATTGAATATTGGTTTTTCTAGCTTACAATCTCTGTTTTTTTTTAATCATGGATACCAAATAATTTTATGTAAAGTAGAAAATTGTCTAGATCCACCATATTTAGACATGATATTGTTGTATGTAATTTTAAGTTATTTTTGTTAACTTTAAACGTGTATAATTACCGTTCATAATGTAATGAGAATATTAGATGCTGACACAGATTCACACTTTATTTCATTATGCATAATAGGAATTTATTTTCATTCTTTTAATTAAGAAAACATATTTTTTCATTTCTCTTTGAATTTATTAAGCTGTCTCAATTTGATCTGTTATTGGTTTTACTTATAACAATAATATTATATATAATAAATTTTAACATAATTAATCGGATATATTTTTGTTTCTCCCCTTTTTCATTCACTCATTCTCATTTGTAATGAATTTCATTCAATTATTTTATTAACAGTTTCAACTAAGAACATCACTACAACTGTTGCAAATAACGGTACATGTATAAGTAATAATCATAAAATGCATTCAAATCAATCTGGACTTCGTTCACGTGCAAGTAAACAATTGTCTAATCGTCAAAATTCAGGTGTTATCCCCCAAAAATTACATCATCCTCATCATTTACATCAGCAAAACAATCCAAATCACATAAGTAAAAAATCTGAGGTAAGATTTCACATTGTTCTTGTTCATTTAAACTTGATTTGGGTAACTTAATTTGTACAATCAGTCATTGTCTAGCTCAATAGCGTGATATATAATTAAACTTTTTTCAGGGAAAAACAGTTACCAGTAACATACAGTCATGTTTTACATACTGTTTTGTAATAGTATAATATCCAGGTTGTAATCTATACTTGTATGTTTGTAGTTAGAAATATTTATCAGTGGAATCAGAACTAGGTTACTGATTATAGCAAAGTATTCTCCAGAAGTTCTTATTGTTTTGTATTTGATCAAGCCAGATGTGATATTTCAATAATTATAATGTTTATTTTATAATTTCCTCCGATTTTTCAGTCGATATGAGTTTGGGTTAATAACTGTGTTTAATATTACTAAATCACCTGCGATCCGTTAATCTGAAATTAGAATTTATCTTTTCATTTAATTAGTCTTAATTTTTAACTATTTAAAAGATTCTAAGTCGATGACTATATCATGCTTCTTCATAAGCCGTACCAATACATAAGAATTCTGCAAGTTGAAAGTAATCGGCTACCCTTATAAATCACTTTTTGTTTATACTTCACACTTTGTACGAAAAAGAAAGTGGCATAAATTAGTTTATATATTCGTGATGTACGAAGTACAAAATCCAGTGTCTGTATAAATTTGTCTAGACAGTAATAATAATAAAAATAGCAGCTTCATCATTTTAATATATGCTAACTTATGGTAAATGGATAGATTATATCAATTCAATTATATATGTTTAGTAATGACTTCAATATATTGTTTTCAAATATCATTCACTTTGTATTAACTTAATATAATGATACATGACAACCTGGTTAGAAATCAGTTCATTCATCAGTCCACGGGATATGGGGTTCATTTTTATTCATCGGTTTACTTTAAGAACTTATTTAGATTTCAGATTGTTGTTTTTAAATGCAGATTCATTAAAAGTTTTTGTTTTAAAAAATATCTAAATCGAAATACCATACTTATTATAATCATATACTCAACATTCCTCAATTTTCCATATTTCCTTAGAAATATATTTTTTATGCGTTATATCCCGATTACTACTACTTATATTATAATCGTTTTGGGCTTTGTGTTCTTCATTTTATTTTAATTTCTATTCTCAGTATGTTTATGTGAAGTGTGACAGCTTGAACAACTACATTGTTTATGCTTAATAAATGAATGTATTTTAAAAGAATAATTATGATTCTCTTGAAAATTTCTCTTGATCTTAAAAAAAATGTTCTGGTGGATATTTGTTTGTTGCTACAGCTGATGTAAAATAGTGTCCCTTAAACTTGATTTTCAAGTCTTTTTAAAGTATTACATCTTGTATATGCTTTCTTTGTTTTATATAAAGTGCTTGCATCAGTTTCTTATTTGTGGTTTTTAGTTTACTAATTCCAATACTAGTGGACGATCATCATATTTTTATTTCACATTGGGATTAGGGAAATAGTTTTTTTTACCTTTAATCCACTGAACATTCTTCAAAAGCATTTTTAATGGATTTAATGTAAAAGCAGTGATTTCGTCTACTGATAAAGAGTTGGAAAAATGTATGGAGAATTTGTAGTTTGTATTTCTTTAGATAGAATAACCGATTCGAAAATACTAAGGAATAATATACTTTAGATTTCAACATTGCTACTACACATAACAGTTCTAATTTTCTATATATTGTAGGATAGATGTTGTAAACCATTGCACAGTAGTACCATGTTAATATTGTTGTATTCTAAACACCAAAGGGTTAGATAAGGGATTAGTTGATACATTACATTTTTCAGAACTTGTCTTTTTTATAGGCATAAAAAGTCAATCATCACATGTTACCGATGCATTTGATTACCTGGTTTTCCCAATAATCACGTCTTACGTATGAATTCACTTGTCTATGTATTAAGTAGTAATGTTTCTCACTACAGGTTATCCATAAAACTTGTAGATTTAGTGGGTAATCATGGTTCTCATTTGACTGTTTCAATGAATATAATTCTTTTTTCGTTTCATATAATATAAAGATATCGCGTCTTGAGGTAAGTGAACTTTGTGGTTTATGTATTGGCGTATATTTGCGAACATGTCTTTTTTAATCAATTGTGTGTGTAAATGTATACGCGTATGTGTGTGTTTGTTTCATTAAATGATTGATAAGGTCAGATTAGTTTTTTTCATTGATCCAATCCGATTTGCTAAAGCCAGTCACACCCCTCCTCTTGCTGGACCCCATAGCCCTCATTCCAATTTTCTTGTATGCTGTACATATGTACCCTTTTTCCTCCCTTCCTTTTACTCTAATTGCCTGACTTATCTAATTAGTTTTGACTAGAATGATTTTCCATAGATATTTGATCAGATTGCTTCATGAGTTAGATCTGTAAACTTTCCATTTTCTTATTTGCATTATCTTATTACAGTTTTACATTTATGTATGTTTTTTAGAATATAATGTGAAACTAACATATGCCTTTCCCTTTTTTATCTTCTCCCTACTTTTGCTGCGCTTATCTTGCCCATTTTTGCATAATGTACGATTTCGTCGATGGCGGTACCTGTCTTTTACGGATCTGGATGGGTGGGGGTTATGTCATATAATACAATTCACTTTTGATGTTACTTTCTTGTCTTCGTATTCGTTCATCCTCGTTTCATTACGTTTTTGATGTATCACCATAATTTCATTTTTGGCTTGTAATTATCCACCTGTATGTGTATCGTTAATTCGGGTCACTGTGGTATTATACATCTGTTCATCATCTGCTATGTGTTCATCTTCCCTTCTCAAACCTTCATCTTCTTTCACTATATCTCATATGGTAAATTATACTGTTCAATGAAACTGTCACAACAAACCGATTAATAAAAATGAATGTATTATCACTTCTGCTGTCATTCTTCTATTATTTTGAATTGAAAAATTCTGAATGTTAAAACTTGTGTTGTCCCGTAATTTTGTTTTTTGTTGACACATGGTATCTATATAACATAAACACTGATTGTATTTTCTTGTAAAAACCGATTGATTTGGTAATGTTTTGGATGATAATCTGTCTGTTGGTGTTGTATATCTACACGAATATTATATATATCCATTTCTAAATAAAAAACGGTCTATTTTTGTGCGTTGTTGGTTGGATCCGCTTTTTGACGATAATAGTATGGAAAACGGAACAACTTATTAAAATCAATAGGAAAAGCATCATTATTACCTGTTCTAAGTAGTTCTGGTGTTAGTAATAGTATTGTCAATAATATTGTTACTAAAGTGGGCACTATCTTGCCAACATTACAAACAAATAGTGAACCGACATTTCTTCGTCATCACATATCGTTTCATCTTCATCTGCTTATTTATTAACTTCCTCTCCTTCAACAGTTGTTTCATCAACAGATATATCATCTGAGCATGTTAGTACGCAACAGTTCCATATTAATTTATTCCAATGGCTTAAACAAACTCAATTGAATCCATCGTCTGCATCATTAGTTTATTTAAGAGAACAGCTCCGACAGAATTTATTCTCTCAGCGATCGCAGGACCACCAACTACAACAATCACAACAACATCATGGAACTGAATCAACTATACCACTTCCTACAACATTAAACTTAATGACAAAAACAACATTAACTACTACATCAAATATTGTTCATCACTTCCCAAGGCAACAACAAACAAATGTATTGAATGTTTTCAGTCATCCAGATGAAACTGTACGAACTACTCAACCGTTAGTAGATAATGATTGGTTTGGGTCTAATGTTGACCTAATAGAAGTAAAAAATAATGATAATAACAATGACAATTCAACTGCTGCTGATTTATCATTTGTTCAGACTATAACCTCTGAACCACTATCAACATCGCCAAAACCACCTCTAGGTCCAAGATTATTAAGGCGTAGACTACCAAAACCAAGACCAGATGAGTTTATTGTTGTTGAAGAAGGAGATGATGACGAAGAATTAATCGAGAGCGATCAAAATCCCACTTCAACATATCATTTTAACTTAGATCAGATCTCCCGCATTTATGACTCATCTATATCTGTTAACTGGGGAAAAATAGACTTTGTAAAAAATGAACCATCTCAACCTATTGCTGAATGTAATAACTGTTTAAATATAACTGAAGAGGATAATGATAGTCAAACAAAGCCTGAAGAAATGATTAGTTTACAGTCGGTAGGATATTTTTCACTGTAGTATCTATGATGCATAAATGTTATTATTATTATTATTTTAATGTTTTCCTCACTTACGTGCAGTGTACGTTCATTTAGATCATTTCCTCTCCCATTCATTTTCGTTGTTAGTATAGTGTGTGTGTTACTAATTTTTTTTTCAAATAAATTGGTTTTAGCTATTAAGATGCCTGTGATATATTTGTTCTATCATTATTAATATCATTGTCAATAAACTCTCAGTCCTGAATGAGTTATCAATGTTTATAGTACCCATTGTTTTATATTAGTAGTACCTATTTGACCTTTGCTTCACTCTTCATATTGTGGTAACAGTATACATCATAGTTTTGTTCCTTGCGTACTTTGTTTAAATAGCTTTCAATGTTGTAATATGAACAAAAATATCGGTATTGTCTTTTATCATTATCGCAATATGGAATTATTCTCTTATTATTTTTTTATATTTTTTACTCCTGTAGGAACTTGATCAATTAGCTGCACAATTGACTAATTTAGGCGCTGTTTCACCTAGCCCTCATCGACAAAATAATCGAAATCAGTTGAATGGTAAATCTGACACAAAATCAAATGATAACCAACCATCATCATCACAACAACAACACTACCAGCAACAAAAATCTTATGAAAATAATAATGTAAAATCATCAACATCTAATGAATTAGTTACATCAATGGAATCAGTATGTGCGGTTGAAAAACTGAATCGATCTAGTTCACTTTCTTCAACATCATCATCTTCTTCTTCGTCATCTACCACTAATTCTTCTTCTATATCATCTGAATTTCACGGTAACGAGGGTTCACCAGTACATGTGGAGAATAAACATTCAACAAGCAACTCATCTACAATGAGTAGATCTCATTCTGTTGGTTCAAATCATGAATATCACACGTCAAGCACTTTTTCTTCATCCTCTGCTTCTACTATTTCTTCATGTGATTCTAATCAACGTAAAAATCATGAAAATGCGTGTCGAGTTATACTGAATGGAAAACGACATTCAGAAATAGATCCTCGTCGACTTACTGTTGTTGAGAATGTTCGTGTGTTGAATAACAATAACAACCAAATGAACCATAATACTAATGTTGATTCTAATGAGCTTGATGACTTAGATAGAATACAAAGAGATCCAGTACAATTCATCGCTTCTAATGATGATCAGATTGACGACTTTAACTATGGAGCTTACAACATACAGAACGATGAGGAAGATGACGAGGACACTGGAGGCGGAGGAGAGGAAGAGGAGGATGAAGATGAAGGTGATGTCATCGTAGTTGAAGAAGAAGAAGAGAATGGTGCTGATCTAGAAGAGGCTGAACAGTTAAGGGCTACTTTATCTATTGTTCGTACACGTCAAAGATCATCATGTGATGAATCGATAAGAAATGTTGATGGTGATGTTGGTAGTGCTGTCACAAATGAATCTTCATGCTATGTAGACGATGGAACGTTGTCCAATGCAGCAGTGAGATGGCATAAAGAGGGGACCTTGTAAGTTTTTTCTCTAATATTCATCTCTGTTGTACTAGTGTTTCTAGTAATATTTTTCCTCCTACAACATGAATATTATCATGTTCCCTTGAAATTAATTTTATTTATTTGATCATAACCTAATGAAATAGCCATAATTAGTTAGATAATTGATTACGCTGTATAATTGATTTTCATGCATGACTAATTTCATATTTTTATTTTGTATTTTTCTTCCCACGTCCTATTCACTGCGTGCCTGTTTTTCTTCTTTTTTTTGTCTTTCTGCAATTCTTGCTTTTATATAACGCTACCGTAAATTCTTTTCATATTTTATTCATGGAATAATCCCTTTCAAAACACAAAAACATAAATTGCTCTTATATGTAACTAACTTCACGCTAATTTTAAAAAATATAATAACATTCTTTTTTTAATAATCCTCATTACTGAAGTGACAGTGTGGTGCACTCAATAAATCTTATGCCTAATTCACCAATTATTCAGCCTCCACCGCTTCCTCCGCGCTCTAAACGTCATTCTTTTTACTTAGAATCTCACTTTCCTAAACCTGTACACCGAACTGTTGTGGTTTCACCGCCATGTCATATTTTATTAGAGTTAGGTTCATCCAATCAGTCAAGACGTTATTCTGCACCAGGTCTTTCAATTTTAAAGTAAGTTATTTTTGCCATTAGTTTTTGGTTTGTTTTAGTTAAATGCGCCTATGTTCTGCATTCCTTGAATTATTTCCCCTACTATCATCACCATCACTACCAAAATTAACAAAGTCAACAACAATTAAAACGTCTTTTTAAAACTTTAAAGTTTCATATTTTGAAGTGTTATTTACCCCATAATGTATGCATTTGTTTGGTTCATACTATGTGTGCGTATATATATATATATATATATATATATATATATATATATGTACTCATACAGTAAACGAACACCGCACAAGCTAAGAGATTGTTTTTTCATGAATATTGTGTGATTATAATTATTGCTAACCATGATATTGAATTATTAACAAGTAGTTTTGCTCATTTGATCACTATAATTCTAGTATTTATGTGTAAGTTTTTATTATAAATGACTAGCGTACTATTTATGTATTCAATGTTTCAATAGTCGTTAGTTATTTTGAAATAATTTGTATTGCATTAATTTTTTGTGAATCATTCACCCCTAAATGTTTTGTTTAGTTTGAGGGTTTGATTTCTCGCTTCTCAGTCATTCGGTTGACGATTTGAAAACGACATTGTTTAGTTTTTGTTTAGGAAACCTAATAATCTATCAGTGATGTAACAATAAATATGGCTGTCTTATACATAAACTTGTATTTAGTTAGCGAATTTCACAATGTTTATCGGCGGTAGATCGTCTATAAACCGATGCTATTGAGAAAGCACTTGTTCGATAGTATTTTAACTAAAATTGCAAAATTGTGACCGTTGGAACACAATTACTGTTACACAGTCTAGTTGTAACCACATGTGATTTTTTAGCTTCAAATTTGAATTAATCTGTTAGTTTTTACTAAGAAGGCGGATATTTAAACTAAATTGATCCCTTCTTTATCACTTATTTATTGCTATTCTATTAGTAAGTTAACTTTAAAAAATAACAGAATATTTGACCATAATAAACTTGTTATTCTTTCTATATAATAAACAAGAGGGATCAATAAGATTTAGTCATCGAATGACCATGAATTTATTCATTCACATTTAGAATTAGGTAGGTTAATAATTAAATATTCGTCACTACATAGTATCTTTGTTTAGTGATAATACTCTGTTCTGTAAGTTGAACAGTTTTCTTATGATTATCATTCTGTACTGTCATGTTAACCAACTAATATAACAGATAGCTTAAGATATTCTCTCTCTCTCTCAAGTATACTACGATATGTTAGTATGATAATAAGACTAGACATGTTATATCAGATCCGGATTCACGACCTAGAGTATCGACTAAACAATACTTTATTCCACTTAATTACGAGCAGTCATTTCCAGTGAGTTCGGAGTACAAATCAATGGCAAGAGTGGAGATCGCAAATTTAATAGTCAGTAGGCTGTTTGTCCACGCTCAGTAACCAGTCATATCTTACTCCCACTACCAAATATCACCAACTAAATTTTGTGACGTCATTTGGAATGGACAGTATCCTAATGGTAGAACTACGTTACTTTGAACTACTGAATTGGATGTTCAAATTCCAACCGACCTATTTCTATCCGGATAGAAACTTATCTAACTAACCTAAGTAAAACAATATAGAGGTATAATAAGACATTTGTAATTGACCCATTCACCTGCGAGAATATAATAACACAAAAAAGGATCCTGTTACGTTACATTTTAATTTCATCAATTCTATAACTTTGTTTATAATGTCCGATTTTGTCGATTATATCAATGGAGAAACGGAATTTCTAACTTTTAGTACAGTTAGTTTATTTTTCATAGTGATAGAAGAACTGTTATACATTGTTGACACTCATGCACACAGTGATCTAAACCAATTTTTAAGGATTTCTTCCGTTCATATAAACTTGTTTTACTGCCCAAATGTTCGTATTATAGGGTATTAAAAATAAATCCCAGACTAGTCAAGCATAGATACAAACTCAACATTGGGAAAAATGAATTCATTGTTTATTTCTTTCATACACATTTAAAGTATTTTATTATTCTGCACTTATTTTCTTCATCTATCTCTTCTCTGCGTACATGTTTATTTTTCTAAGAGACGTGTTAACTTACATCAGCGCATTTCTCAGTTAATTTCTAGTTTTTCTTGTATATTTGGGACAGAATTCTATTGTTTTTTTTTAGCTAACAGTAATTAACTCATTATGAGGTCAGTAATTTTATTATTGTCATCTGCATATATATAACTGAAGAATATTTTTTCTGATAATGATCAGAATTATTCAACGTTAGATAAGTTTTAATAGGTTTTTTATTCAACCTAATTCAATCATTAACCAGCTCATTATAGTTACTAGTTGTGAATTGTTCCATTTTGTTTTATTACGAGGGTTCATTTTGATTAGTGTTAGTGCTTAGTTTTGTCTTACATAGAGTACCGATAGTTCAATTTAGTGGCTTGATAAGGTATCTGATTCTATTTTACCAACTTTGATATAACTGACTAAACTGATCAGTTGGTAGTTAATGAAATTATAATGGATTTTTTTCTAATCGTCTAATCTAACTTACACCAATTTTCTCGACGGTTTTATTTCTTCCTTGATTTTCTCTTCATGGTTTACTACACAGTCATTCGTTTTACATTATGTTTATTATTTTATACTACCGTTTTCAGTGATGGCTTATCATGAAAAATAGAATTCGTTTTTCATCTCACCCCTTAGTTAGCTGCTTTTGAATGGTATTATGTTATGATAGAACAACTTGTACCGCTTTTCAGTTAGAATCACTAAACCCTTGAGCTGTTAAATTCCAGAAGTACACCAATCAGCTTCCATTGGTACTGAAACATCTCAATCTTCACTTAAACATTTAATTTAATATTGTGTCGTTCATTTTTTCTGAATTTATCTGTAGTTTAAATTGGTTGTATCGTTTGGAAGTATTTCTTACGGGGAACATTCTTTCATATTATATGTTTCGTTAACATTGATATTTCACTGGATTGGTGATCATTGAAAGATCTCAACAAGCTTTCATCTATTGCCTGCATAAATGCATAGATTTATGAGGTCGTTAAAGATAATGCGTAACTATTCACATTCAAATAGATGCAAAATGAGTTTTTTTTCATTAACCTGTTACCCGATGAATTAATTGATTTAGTAGATCAGTGAATTCAACCGTATTTTTCTTGTATGATGACTTTATATATTAATATTTAATCTGAATGCTTTTTGTATTTTTTCTTATCCACCACAAATTTTCATGGGTTTGCCACTTCATCTGTATGTGAATACAACAGACCATCAGATGAATTTGCCAAAGAAACTTTATGCAGTTTAGCATCGATTATTGAGTCTACATCTGGGACAATTGACCGATCTGGATCTAAGGTTAATCCATCAACTGGGAATAATAATGTTAAAGTAAGCTCGACTATCATTATTATTTCTATTATTTTCATTATATCAATTTACCATCATCTTTAAATCACTTTCGTTATTACGATTTGATCTACATCTTTTTTCTCATTTATCGATCTACTGTACTTCTCATAATTTGTTTTTTGAAATTGTTGGTAATTTAAAAAAAATACATTTTCGATTGAAGCACCTTGTTATGTTAAAAGAAATAGTCTTCTTAGACTTTATGTTGCCGATTTACACAGTTAAATTTGTCTGTTTATATGTCAATTTTAGTTAGAGAACCTAAAACTACCAATAATCTACTTAGTATATATCAAATATTCTTTAATTTTTTTTAAAACAAAACTAACGATAATCACAATCTGAAGTCAACTTATTGATAAGTTATTCGAAATCGTGTTGTTGAGAATGTTTTTATTTATTTATTTATTTATGTAACGTCAACATATGAGGAGTATGTTCTGAGAGGTACATTTAATACAGTTGTGTTCCACTCTGTGTTCTGAAGACCCGTCAATAGGTTTTCTGAATTTTATCTCATAAGAACATTAATAATAATAGTTTTATTTAATATGATAAATAAGTCTACATTATGACATCTTCAGCTCATTGCAAAAAAAATTTACTTCAGGCATGCTGGGAGTACTATAAAAAAATGCAATGTTACTAAAGCCCCCTACATTTTCATATGATTCATACAAACAGATCCCTAATAATGTAAACACTGGAGAATTGTAATAAGCGTTGTAACAAAAACGAAATTTTAAGCAATCCACCTAATTTATTTGGTATATCCAGATCATATTTAGGTAATTTTATAAACGTAAATTGATAATTCTTAGTTTGTTTTAAAATATGTTTGTAAGTATACTTATGGTTTTCAATAATATTTCCAGGTATATGCACGACAGTAGAAGCCAAATATTTTTATTGAGCATTGTAATCCACAGTTTGATCATCTCAATCAACTGTGTGTAGCTAAATTAATAAGAAAATATATACAATAATAAAATTCATAGTATCTGTAGCCTATAAATATAAGTATTATCTTAATTATGTATATACCTTATCTTAATTGTTGCTGTGCAGCTATTCGTTTAAGCATACGACCTGATAATTTTGTTATATATGCATGTACAATCTTTCCTTGTTGAATTACAAAGCGATCCTTAGACACATTATCGATCCAGTATTAAACATTGAGTTGATCCAGATAAGATTTCTTTTCATAATAATTGCGTTTTAATGCATTTACTGGATTCCTGTAAAGTTAACATTTTGCATGAAGGATTTCATTTCAAATATTTTTAATCCTTTTAAAATGAGTAGCATACAAAATCTTCATGTAATTTTTTGATCTTCGTAGTGAAATAATTTGTTTTAAATTAAAATTAGTTTGTGCATATTTTCATCAAAATAATCTATTCCATTCAAACCATACTTATTTTTTAAGTCTTTTATTCTATCTAATCAATTTTAAAAATGACTATTTCGTACTTCTTGATTATTTGATAAATGTAAATAGAACAAATCTTGATGTTCGTACTCTGTTTAATAAACCAACCATTTGACTTTGAAATGAATTTCACTTTTTCTCTGTCTTACTAATCAGAATTAAGTACGCAATTAAAAAAGAATCTATTTCATAATTTTTCTCTACTCGTCCATAGTAGTCTAATTGTTTCATTGTTTATGAGATTATCCTTGCTAAACATTTCTCTATGACAGATAAAAATGATCAGTTTATATAAGAATACACGTGTATGTACATATTATACATATATATGCATGGATGGGGTTATATATACAATCATCATTTTTTGTATACCGAAGTGTGTTACTTTTTATTATTTATTACATATAAATTCTGAAACAACTGGGCAGCCCTCAAATGCTTTGCACCATTTAAATATAGTATCATTGGGGTGTATAATAAAAACAGTGTAGGATTGAAGATACAATTCAGCTGAGAATACAATCACGAAGACTTTTTTGAATTAAGCGAATTCCTCATACTTTTACGAAAAATGTAAAAAAAAAACTACAGTAGGACTGTTATTGGCTTTTATTTTGAGCTGTTCACACACTATCACATAATGTAGGTTTGATCACAGCTCAGTACAATTAGCATCCGAGTGAAATACAGATGTAATTCATAGATTTCTAAGGATTGGGTTTTAGCTAGTATTGAAATCTATGAGGTAGGTCCCGTCGTTTTCGAACTCATCAACTGAATGTTCTTGGATTCCAGCGTTAGAGTTTTTGCACTAAGACTCACACCAACTGTATTAAAAATTTGTGACTTGAAAGCAATATTGAGTGAATCCACTCTGAATACAAACACACCATCAGAGATTGATAAATTTCAGTTCAGAATATCAGTAATAGGAAATTGTACCTCATGCAAAGTATGTGGTAGGTCGTTTGCGAAGTAAAAAAGAAAAGCTAATTTCAAAATATTTGGGAATATCTCGCTTCTATAGGAAGTTAGCAACTTCGCCAAAAACTCAATGGTAACTTAGCTTTCTGTCTATGATACCCATGTTGAAATCATGAAGAGAACATCAAGTCCTACAAGATTGAGGAATACACCTTATTGACGAGTACCAAGTATCAAGAAACATAGGTTCAAATCTAGCATTATGAACTTCGATGTTGAGTTTGATAAATTGGTGAGGAATAGACCATGTGACATCACTTTCTGTTCAGTAATATATAAGTGTAAATATTTATTCGCTTAAATACTTTTATTTCTTTTGTTTAGTACACTGTTTCAAATGGTTATCCAAATACAACTGATCTGTCTTCATGTACAGATAAGGTGAAAGTTACAAGTTCATCTCAAAATGTTTCACATATTGGTGTCCCGCATACATCGTCATCAAAATTAATTACAAATGAAAAAGAAGGTAATATAAATATTTCATTTATCATTAGTAAAAGTGAATATTTAGAATATATCTAACCAATGACTATCGTTTGTAAATCTATAGTTTATACAGTCATTTTGCAGTCAACAAAATACATTCTAATGTCACAAGGATTTAGGCTTATCGATATTGATTCAAGCACTTGACATTTAAAATAATACTATTAGCTATTTAGTATAATATCTATTTTCAGTATTTGATATACGAGCTCATAAATAATTTTTCAAGTGATCCTTGTCCCTTAGTTATATGTATGTTTTTTTAAAAAAAATTAATATTTGTTATATTCATTCCATATGATTTATGTATTGTTACTCTGCCAACACTTTACCATTGAAATGTAATTTAAATTGGTCAATTCAGTATGTAAGCAACGCTGCCCTAGAAAGATGCACTAACTTGTTTACAAATTCTTATATCGATTTTCTACTGTCCATTTATAATTTTGAATAGAGAAAATCATTGTGTGTTTTTATAACAAACTATATATGTCATTTAATTATCATTAAATCTATTAAAAATTTAATGTTAAAGATATAAAGATAATGGTTTGATTTTTCGACAGATTATTTTAAGACGATGTTATGAAGAGATTGAAATTCTCAACTTTCAACCAATAGGTTCATCTCATCAACTTCGGTTTTTGTGGTAGTTGTGTGGTACAATTAGTCGCCATTCAACTAAAGTATAACTCAAAGTCGAGTACATATCAACCTGTGCTTAATAAATGAGCTGTTTTAACTCCAAATGACTATGATGTTCCGTAAACTTTTTTGTTGAATAATAATAATGATAACTTAATTGTCATGCAAAATAACGTGAAAGGTACCAACATTTTTAGTTTATAAACCAGTGAATATCTTTGTAGCTGTTGGCGTTTGATAATTCTATGCCTTACAACAATTCCCATAAAGCCTTGATCACGTTCATCTATTTCTTTTTGGCTATCATTGTTATTAGATTTTAGTGAATTAGACTTTGAAATTACCAGCTGTCACTCATTTTGGTATTTCTATATGTGAATTAGTTATTAAAGATACAAATAACTTAACAATGAGCAATATGCAATAGAAAATGAATTTCCTCCACGATAAAGGTCCACTTTTGTCTACAATAAGCAAGTCACCGAGTTATAACTCATCGAATATTATTATCTAAAACTATCAAACATCAGTTCACCGCTCCTAGTTTATCTGCTGTATTGAGATTGTAATCGCGTAGCCTATTTATAAGATCAGTGTCCCACATAAGTACAGAATTTGTGAATGGATTGTTGTTAATCGCTATTCATTTATACTTCACTTCCATTCTTCAGGATGTACAAAAATACAAGAAACTCGATCACCGTCACCACCACCACATTCTACAGATGCTACTTCTGCTGTTCTAGGCGGTCCGTATAACAAGCCATCATATCAACCAACTGATATATGTACAAATATACCGACCAACCAACATTCATTAGGACAATCCAACTTAGCTCAGAAAACGAGTTCCACAAATCTCTCCTCAGTCTGTAGTGATTACAGACTCAAATAAAGCACTTCCTAGTTCAGTTTGGTCAGTTCAAACAAACAATAATGTTGGTTCTCGAGTTTCAGAGCCAAGTCCACGTGGAGGTCAAAAATCGAAAACCCAGGTGATTAAACTTGACCTCTTTTTCTTACTTGAATACATTAGAGTTGATATATTAAAAAAAAAACTTTTTCTACCTACCTTGTTATCGTTTGTCCTTTTATGACCTTCAGTTATTATTCGTTCTTTATTCATTGTATCAATAGACTATAAATTTATTTAAGGCTAAATATTTTAGAGCTCTAAGGAGATTTTTAATTTGTACTAAGTTGTTAACTAATTTTAGTGTTATATATCTCGAACTCTGTTAAACAGTTGCTGACATGTCTGACCATTTTATCAAAAACCAATGTCAATAAATAAAGTGTATTAACACATACAAAATGGGACTTATAAAGTTAGCCATATATACATAGTGAATACAGCTATGTCTGTTTCCTTTCATTAGCCCAGATTGTCTAGATACATTACTTAGTTATTGTATTTCAGGACGATTTTCGTCACAAATATACATAGGTTAGTTATTCATAAAGATTTAGTAGTTGCCATAATTGTATTTTGTCATATATACTTATCTTCAAATTTCAACTGATCAGTTGCAAAATCTAGTAATTTAGTGGATGGTATAGTATCTTTCAAGATGTTTATTCTGACGCATGCATATATTTATTTGTTGATCTGTAGAAAACACGACTCATTATTATCAATTCACGTGCAGTGATTTATCATGGTAGCTGCTTTCAAAAAAAGACATTTGAAATTCACGTAGACTGATTCCTTAAAAAAAAATTTGAACAGTGTTACTATCATCAACTAGTACGTATTATAAAAGTCATTGCTAGTAATGATTTTTTTAAATACCAATATAACTAAATAACTAAGGATATCACATGCTCTCCTGCTGACGACTTGAACCGAACGAATAATGAGTTGTACATCATATGGATTATATATATATATCTCCTTGATACAGTTTACACATACGTATTCCCATCTACTGGTTGAGTTTATAGTCATTTGAATAACATAAGTGTTGTATCCAAACGAAGATTAAGTGAGTGGTAGCTGCTAGAACTTATTATAAACCATTAATGCATATATTTCTACTGAGTAATTATTAAGTAACTAGATTACGATATATAATGGTATTCCTTTTTTCTTATGCTTTCATTTGACCTAGTGACTAATGTTATACGACTTACCATTCATAATTTATTCCCAATCTATTAGTTACAGTCTCCTATACTCACAGCCACTTTTGTCTTGATATTGCATAATTATCTTTTTTCATTTTATGATGCGGTGCTGTCCGGTTTCCTTGTATATAAACCAAGTATGTCTGAAATATACGATTAATAAAGAATAGGCTGGCATTTGTATCCTGGACTGAACGAGCTGGGCTAGGTAAGAAGTTACTCTACAGAGCACCAATAAGGACTCAAAACCGCTAGTTCTGGTTAACGAATTATTGGTTTGGCACAGGGACAAGGTCACAGAAATCAGTTTTTCATTGGTGGTTTTGTATTTGATGGGCCATAGACATAACAAAACGGTTAATTTAATCGAAAGACAAATTATGAGCCAGTCTCAGTTCAACTACTTTGACTATACAAAACACTAAAACTGAGGTTCTGAAATAAATTCACTGTTCTTACACACTTCATGTTTTGTAAGATAACTGTACATATATATGTAATTGATTTCTACGATTATGGAATGATTATATTGATTAAACGGCATTTTGCTGAAGTATATACATGTATTAAGGGATAATAGCTTGAAATGTGGTTTGAGAACATTTCAATTTTTATCTCGATGACTTGACAACTTATAGGATATTCCAATTCCCATGTTTAATAATACGTACAACAATAACTCAATAGATTCAGTGTTTGTCTTTCATACGTTTGTTAATTTGTTTTACCTCATCAATGTTATTGTCTATGTTTCTCACGTAGTTCATATAACTCATTGTGTATGATTTCTCACCTGTTTCTTCTGATTGAATTTTGCATATAGGTCATTTATAATTTGTGTATTATTGTCATTGTGTTGAATCAATCTTTTCAATAACTCTTGTTAAACAATACGATTACCTTTTTTCTTCTTTAAGAAAGGAAAATCCTTTCTCTCTTTGATTTGTCTTTCTTTTCTTTTCTTCTGGATTTCCAGTTAGATATACAACTTTCACAGTCAAGTTCTAATCCTTCATCATCTAGCAACAGTGGTGGTTTAATCAAATCAATCGCTTTGCCTAATTCATTATGTGGTAATTTATTGAATTTTAATTTACCATCAATTAGTACAATAACAAGTACAGTTATTACAACTGGTTCATATTTATTACCTACAAGTATTAGCAGTGGTGCTGGTTGTATATCAACTGCTTCAAATAATATTTCAACAACAAATTCTAGTTTAAACAACAATGATACACCGGAAATACAAGTTTATAAAAAACGTTTTAATTCGGAAATTTTGTGTGCATCTATGTGGGGTGTAAATTTACTGATTGGTCTTGAAACGGGTCTTTCTTTATTAGATCGTAGTGGTGAAGGTCGTGGTAAGTCATTTAATCTATAGCAAATTCTGTAATATAGAAAGATTACTAAATATTATTTTATTTTGGGACTTCATCACTCTCGATGGAATGTGATCTTCATTGTTCTAAATGTTTTATAATAAAGTTGAGTTGCTTTAATTTTAATTACAGTTGCTTCGGTCTGGGTACCCGGGCAGTATCACAACCCAAAACACAAATCAAGTGACTTGTATGGTGCATATGTATTTGGTGCTCCTTTGTACCAATATTTATATGTTAAAATAAATAACAGTTGAGACAAATTTCAAATTCTATGATTATTCCCAAGATATATATATATATATATATATATATCTTATTGCATATATACATGCATTATTATGTTACACAATCACGAAATTTTACATCAATAGAAATGTGTTGACTATAAACTGAAATTGTCCGAAACTTCTTGACGCGTACTGCTGAGCAGACCCACACTAGGACGAAATAGATGCCTAATTTGTCCTGCTTTCCAATAGTTATCTGAATAAAACCAGTTGATGATGTAAACGATAAACGTCTTTAGGTGTGTATTATTCAGTTTAAACTCAAATTTTGTGTTCTCTAACTTCATCTTCCTGAAGTTTTATTCCAGTGAAGATTAGTTAGATGAGCATGAGATGTGTTATTTGTGTATAACAAAGCAGGTTTGTTTCTGATTTCAAAATTAATTCGTCGTTTGATCATTTTATTTGCAATAAAGTAGAACGTAATGGCTCATTTCTTTTTAAAGGAGTCATTTTTCATATGGTTATAAAGTATGCAAAAATAGTAAAGACGTGTTTTATTTATAAATAAAGTGCAATCTGCGAGTGCAGACTCTAGACATTTCGTGAGTATATTGATAAAATCCTCAATATTTATTGGGTTTTGGGAGAAAGATATGTTATTTTCGAGGATCTGATATAAATCTCTTCATTTTGTTAGTCTATTGTCGTTGCTGTGCGTTTACTTATTGTTTGATGAGATTTGCTTATTGCATAAGTCGTTGCAATGGAATAATATTCACTGAATTTTGTGTATTCATTTGAAAATTTGATTGGTTTTTTTAAAGTAAAAACTTACAAAATACGCAACTTTGTACGTTTTCCTTTATTTAAAACTTATATGATGTAACTAAAAAATGTAGTTGAGTGGATTTTTTTCTTTAATCAATGACGAATTATATGCTTTGATTGTGCATTTTTATGTGAAAATATCATTACTCATAGAACTGCAGCTGAATTATAGTACGTATCAATGAAAATAGGTATTTCATTATTCATGCTACTTATTAGCTTTGACGCTATGTTTAATCTTTTCTACTACCACTAATACTGTGAGTCTTTCTACTACTGTAACATTTATCTTGATAATTGTTCGTGATTGTGCTGATATGATACGTTGACTTGACCTGATCCGGATTCTTTGTTGGTTATTACTCAGTCAGTGGTCTTGCGTGCTGTGAGAGGTATGAGGGCGGTTATTACTGACTAACTCTGATTAACTTTGAAGTAGTTTATACAACTATGTAACAAGATGACTAAAAATTCATTGCTATTCAATTCAATTTATTTTTATTAGTGTCATCTATCGTTTTTATAAAATAATCAGAATGGATTTATTCCCGAAAGTACTTGGCTAACTCATTTTGTTTAATACACAATCTATAATCTCTTTAAATGTAGATAGAAATATGCTCTACATTATTATGTTCCAGGTTTTTTTTTCATTTATTATAAAGAAATTCATTTGTTCTTTTAACTCTGTTCCATTAATGACCCGTGAAAGAAAATTGACTTTCTGGTTGTATTTAATGTATACCGTTAAACTTCTGATTCTAGAACAGTATTTTTTTACTCAATAAAACCACATTTAAAATTCAATGTTCTTTTTTCATCCATCTGTTATGTTTTCATTTTACTTTTTTCCCGATCAAAATTTTGTAGTTTATTCTTTAATTACAAGACGAAGATTTTCAAGGATGGCTGTTTTAGAAGGTCAGAATATTTTAGTTACTATATCTGGACGTAAAAATCGTGTACGTGTCTACTATTTATCTTGGCTTCGTAGTAAAATTATGAAGACGGAAGGAGTAAGTAAATTATAGTGTTCTTTGAATGTTTAGTATACAATAATATGAATCTGTCATTTTGTTCTGCTGACTAGCATAAAAGAGCAGCTTGAGAAAATTTCCAAAGAGAGATCAGACTAAGTCATTGATTATTCGTTTGAACCATATTGGAAGTTACAAACTTTCCTGGTTAGTGTCTGTTAGACGATACATACTTGGAGATTTAGATAATAACTTAAAGTCAGTCATAATGTTATAGACAGATCGACTTTTTATTATTCTCTAAGTCTTAGGTCTGAGTATTCAACCACTTTTATTTCGTAACGTTTCTTTTTTAAGTATATCCTTTTGAAGGACTTTTCAATCATACACATTATTAGAAATCAAATCAAAAATTTCCAATTCCTTGGTTATCTACACTAAAACATATTACACAAATATTAAGTTACCAGTTGATTGAAACTGAAAATGGAACTTACTATAATGAAAATAATCATCTTCAAACTCTGAAGTTATTGAATTCTTCTCCGCAATGAATGGTGTGTGACGCACTTTAACCACTTTTCCGATTAAAAGTAAAATTATTTTTAGACTATTATTGGTTTTTCTTTTAATAATGAACTGTAACGAAGCGTGTCAGCTGAACTTCAGGTTAACTTATGAATTTTTAAACATTAATCAACATTTGCATAAGCAGATCGATTACTAACGTTTCATTTTCTTTTAACTAGTGTGACAAGAAGAATGGTTGGGTTAATGTCGGTGAAAATTTACAAGGTGCTGTACATTTTAAAATTGGTAGGTCCGATCCTCAATGTTTCATGTATATATACGATTGTATCCTATGCGTTACTGTTTAGTGAATGTTACACTCCCTTATTTTTCCTATTGAAATATAATTTATACTGGTCATCTCAGTACATATATATATATATATACCGTACGGTCCCAGATGTCTTAGGTCCCTTAATAGTGCTTATATCGATCTTGTGTTATACATATATAATTTTGTGTTTTTAGAGAATTTTTTTGAAAATTTAGCCACTTTCCAAATATATCCTAAAAACTGAGACGTTACTGACCTGTTGGCTCTATAAACATAGTCGCTCCGAATATTCTGTATGTTGGATGATTTTCACCTTTATGATATTATATGCACTGTTTAGCTGAATAATAGAACTTTATTTGTCATGCAAGATGATATAAGACGTGATGTGAATGTTTTGGAAATGATTGATCTATGTTGCTACCACACGCGGAGTCCAAGACACGCTAATACACAAGACTTACTATACAACAGTATGGATGCTTCTGATGATGTTAGTTTTTGCTTAACTTTTTCGGAAAAATAAAACACAACAATTATTTTTAACCAGTAACAGTTTAATTTGTTTTCTTTATTTTCACTCCTTTCGATTTTTTAAAATTTCTTTTCACAGTAAAATATGAAAAGATTAAATTCCTTGTCATCGCATTGAGAGATTCTGTAGAGATTTATGCTTGGGCACCTCGTCCATATCATAAGTTTATGGCTTTCAAAGTAAGTTTTCATTATAACTAGATCGTATTAGTATTTCTGATTTAACTGGACATTATTTTGAGAATTAAACAGTATGACGAGTAAATCATAACATTGAATTTTGTGATCAAACAGTGAAGCGCAAATGTTTTAGTTAAATGAGAAGGGCAGTTAATAGAGTTGTGTGTGTGAAAAATATTAGAGGAATTCTGAAAAAAGTCACTTCATTGGTTTTTGCTTTTGACCCTAATGCGAAAGAGTCACAGGAAAATGGTTGTTACCGTAGGTAATTTGGCCTATAATAAATTGAAATAGAAATACATTTATCCGTTTATTTATTTTGTCTAAATAGTTGAACAATTTCTATTCAACATACACTTAACCTTCCGCCTTCTTGTTTTGATGTTTTTTCCAAATATTCTCAAGTCTTTTAATCCCTCTTTCAGTTTTCTCTGTGTTTTTTTTGTTTTGTTTTGGAGTGTGATGTTTTTGTGCATAGCACTTTGTATTTGGTATTTGAGCTGGTCGGCCAATAATATATTTCGCTCATCAAATAAGCTTTTAAATTACGCACAAGTTTTCTTGTTAGCTGGGATCGCATATTACTCATTCTGGCCCCCGGTTATGTATATGCAGTAGTAATGTTATTATTAGATATCCTGGATTTTAGAGTATTTAGTGCTGGAGTATTCTGGCCTAAGAGAAGCTTATTAGTACTCAGGGCTCTCTAGTTCCCAGCAAAAATTTTTCTTATATTCATCAATGATATAAAACTGTAGTAGAGTGAATTTGAATTATTAAATTCTGCAATCTACACAAACCTTCCTTTACTAATAATAATCATATGCTCACCGGTGGCTAGGTTCCAGATGCAATTCTCGCAGTTTTAGTGAGAAGCCATAACTAGTGGAGTTCAACATTGTCCTGTATGATATAGTTGTCCACTGCAGGCAATCGAAGATGGTCACTCAGTATCGCTAATCTATTTTAGTCAAACATGTACATCATCGGATGTCGGCTTAATGATCTAAAGGTTAAACGCTCGCAAACGAAAGCTAAGGCCCTGGGTTCGTTTCCAGGTGGGGTTGTAAATGAGCACTGGTGATGAATTCCATACTAAACTGACAAAGCTATCAAGTCGTTCCTGGTTTTCAGTAGTTGTTTAGCTAGACTCAGGTCGATTCAAACTATAAAAATTCTGCTATGTCCGCAAACCTAGCTATGCTAATTAAAACACTGTAAGGACTTAATCTTACGTGATATTTCATCCTCCCTAGTGAATACTTTCAGTAGATTTTTCATAGATAATTTGATACTATGATAGCCTTTTATGATATGGTTGTGATAGAAAAGGAAACTAATTCAACAAATGTGAGATAACAATGGTGAATGTTCATTCTATATAATTGATCAACTGAACTATTTGACCATTATAATATACATGCTTCAATGTCATTCCACTAATTTACCCCAATCGCTGTCTTGATTTCTTGTCGATCACATTCACAGACATTGTACATTATTATTATTATTATTATTATTATTATTATTATTATTATTATTATTATTATTATTATTATTATTATTATTATTAGTTAAATATGAATGTGTTATATATTTTATAGGACTATCTGTCGTATTTTTATTTCCCTTGTATTTCTTCTTCATTTTTCACCAGAGATTCTCTGAACTCAAACATCGGCCATTATTGGTAGATTTAACCGTTGAAGAGAACACCCGTTTAAAAGTTGTATATGGTTCATCTGATGGTTTTCATGCTATTGACTTGGATTCAAATATAGTATTCGACTTATATATGCCTTCTTTGGTAGGATATCGTTTTGTAAACTTGTTTACTATACAATAATTAGATATATGTGTGCATGAGTCATCTGGCATTTACCATAAATTTGTGCTTCTGATAAAGATGCAAACATTTTTCAAATCTATGCTAGATTTCTTACATAAATAAAAGTAATAATGAGGGAGTCTAAGTTTTATTTTCACAAATAGTGATTTTTTATGTGGAGACTGGGGATTGGTGTATTTCATTAAAAAGTTATTATTAGAAAAAAGTAATATCTTGCCTATCCGAACTATGTAAGAAAAGATAGCAGCTTATATCTATGTAGTGTGACATCATACATTAACTGAAATGACCGCAACATCATGTGGTATTTGGAAGCTAATCCAGCAGGACAACAGCGGATTATCATAGCATTCATACCTGTTTAATTATCATACAAAAATTTATCGTGAGAAAAGAGACTTAACAAAATAGTTATTTGATGAAAACTTATTCATTAGTCTAATTTCTAAAGAAATCGACCACGTAATCGAATTTGATTACGTTCAAAATTGCAAATCTCTTATCTTGTTGAATGTTTTTGTAAGATAGTGATTGTTTCCTCCCCCCCCCCTAAAGTACTAATTTTAAATTCCTACTTTTTTTCTTTTTCCTTGCTTTATATTTAGATTAATTCACATATTACTCCTCATTGTATAGTAGTACTTCCTAATACAGGTGGTATGCAGTTACTTTTATGCTACGACAGTAAGTTTTATTTATACTCACGTATTACTATCGATTTATTAGTTCACATTTCATTGTACCACATTAGTAAATTTTTAGTGTTTATAGATTAAATGAAAGCAAACTGTCTGGGACTTGTCAGCCATATTCATTTCTATTCCATGAAATATCGACGTTTTCGCTAAGACTATTTACATAGAACACTGTAAGCCATCAAATTGGTTTGTAACTTCCCAATACTGCAACTATTTTTCCTTCTGAATTCCTTACAGTGACATTTCACTGAAAACAGTTTAACCTTGGAATTGATGTATTTTATCTGCCAACATTGGAACTTTTCATATTTTTCAGTCGTTCTTCGCTCTATCTGTCAAGAATAAAGACCATCGTCAGAACAATAATAGTTACATCAAGTAAAAACTTGCATTTAATTCATTTTTTTATGATCAGCACCTTTCACAGAGTAACATGGACTTACTGTAAAATCGCTTTCTTGCATCGATTTTCTTTTTAGCTGAAGGTGTTTATGTAGATACTAATGGAAAACTAACAAAAATATCGTTATCCAGTGGGGTGAAGTTCCAACGTGTGTAGCCTATATATCTACTGGTCAATTACTTGGTTGGGGTTTAAAAGCTATTGAAGTTAGATCAGCTGAAACTGGACACTTAGATGGAGTATTCATGCATAAACGTGAACAGAAATTCAAATTTCTTTGTGAACGTAATGATAAGGTTAGTTGTTTTATTGATTCACTTGGAAAGAACGTATGATTTCATATCGAATTAGATATTCAAGCAAGATAATATCATATGGGTCTGTTGTACAATTCAAGAATTCTGTTCAGATCATTCCATGTATATTAGATATGATCATTAAATTGAAGAATATTTTTAATAAATCCAAAGACTTTTTTCTACAAAAATGCCCTAAAATGTGTAGTCATTATTTTACACTAAAAGTGTTACAGATGATAGTCTTCTAAATCTATTTTTCTATCTAAAAGTCCGAATTGTTTAAAATTAACTGTACCATTCTTTCGGAACAAGTTATCGTCTTGGATGTATCCGCATCAAACTAATTCTTCTAGAATGGTTTAACTGAAATCTTGGGACGCTTTCTGAACTTTACAATTATAATGATGAACTAAAACTATTAAAAGAAATGAAACTCTTTTTCTTATTAATTTGTTCAGAGTGCATACTTAGCTTTACGATGGCACACCTGATTGACGAAGTAGTGAAATGACCACAGGTAACAAAACTGATAATTCCGGCCGAACAGGTTTTAAAAACAGAATCATAGGCTGATCGAGTGAGACTAAAGCTCTGAATCCCTTAGCAAATATTCATCTGTGAAATTACTATGACTACTTCAGAACGCTTAATATAGAAGCCATCAAATTTTTAGTTGTGTGTAAAACAGACTCTATACGTCAATGTAAAGACGCTTACTTGGAGAGTCAGGACTAGATATCTCCTGGTAGACACTAACTATCCTTCAAATAAGCATGAGGTAATACTCAATTCTTTTATTTATGTCGTTAAATTCTAAATAACTATAATTTTTATTCTTTAAGAAATGTGACAACATATCTATCAAGATAATTTGTTTACATTACTACAGGTATTTTTCTCGAATACACGGTCTGGGCCACCCCAAGTATCTATGATGACCCTTAGTGGTATACACTGGTAATAAATTAACTTGACTTTTCATGTCTACAGTTTTTCTTGATGATTTTTAAACTGAGCACCACCAACACTACTACGCATCCTGACACCCATACAATACAGAGAAATCAATATCTTAATATTATTTAACTAATGCAAAATTACTACTATACTTTTATTTAATGTCTGACAATGCATTTCTGTTTAAATGTGTTGTTGTAATGGTAAATGACATTGATTCTTAGTAAGAAGAAATGATAACTTTCCAACAAATTTATCTCATTTTAGTCTACAGCATTGTCCAAATAAACGTGCAAAAACATTTTCTCTCCTAATTTTATGCATAATTTACAGTTTTCTTCCAATTGACCTTTATTTGCGCATTTTCTTTGGATTGTGTACATTATCGTTGCTAATATTAATCCGCATGAATGGATATCAATTTTGAAATGTTCTACATATTTATTATTATTTACCAGTAAATAAAAACACTACACAATGTATCCTAATCTGTGCTATGTATGTGATGAAAGCTTATTCTTTATTAATCTTTATTTGTTCTTATTCAGTACTATGTTATATATACAAATGACTTTAGGAAAATTTGATTTGTAGTTGTGAATTGTTTTAGAAATTTGTAACAATTGTAACAATAACCTCAATTCCTTTCCTCCTATATTATATTGAACTACTTTGATATATCCATCTTTCTAGGTGCATATATGACCATATATTCTTAACTTTATCAGTTTTGGTTAGTGCTATTCATTTCCTGTTCATATTATCTAGAGGTTATTAGAATTTGACATATACGTTATTGTTATCAATCAATCATTCGTTTATCTATTGCTCTCAGATAATAGTATGGATAATCTTGCTTAACGAATATTCACTTCTACTTTAAGTTTTACACATTTTTCACTATTATTTTCAATCCATACGGGATGATGATAGGTTTGTTACACACAAATAAATATTTAGCATGTTTTGCTCCTTTCATTGTTTCTTAATTTGAACTCTTGATAATAGTTTTCATTTCTTCTTATTTTTTTTTAAAACAAAGTTGTTCATGCTTATTATCCTATTTGTCTCGTTTGTATTATTGTTAACATTCAGTATTTAAATGAATTGTATGAACAAATTTTATATATGCGAGGTAGTGTGAGAGCAAAGCAAATGATTCACATACTGAAGAGGTTTCTTTGTGTACTTTTTCGTTGGAAGGGATTTTGCATCAATCAACAAGAAATAAGATCTATTAGCTCAGAGGTTTTCCAAGTTTTATTGTTTATTTCTTTAAACATTAACAATTAAGTCGTTTAAAAGTATAGTCCATGAACTGAAGATAAGATGTTTGAGGAGATTAATCTTGTTTACACTATAGACTATGGTTTAATTGCGAAGCTTCCTATGTTGTTCTGGTCAATACTCCCGACCAATATTGGTGCCAATGAATGCTTCGCAATCAAAAGACCCAACTCAGAAGAGGGACAATCAAAAGGATCGGCCTGAGCTACAAGTATAGCTTCATTATACATGTTACACTCAACTCACATCCTCGAAATTTGATATCGATACCCATGTAGTGGTAATGTACTTTCAACCTATCGCAGGCAAATCTGTTCTACATAGCATGCATTTAAGTTATTTGCAGAAAAATCAGTAAACTTCAGCAAACATCACCTACACATTGCAAGTGATGAGTCGCATTGTTGTGCAAACGAGTTATTCCGATTGATGTATACTACACGAATAGTACGATTACTTTCATTAACTAAGCAACATTTTGTACGCTTCCGATACTAAGTCTATTTTTAGATGGGATTTTTGATGGAACATTAATTAGTATCGCTTGCTGCAAACCTTACAATGAAGTTACCAAAAATCTGCTTATTTAGTAATTATTACAATCGTTGTATTCGGAGAAATTAAACCTACAATAGTTAATAACACAGATCTAAAACGTGGATCGTCGGATTCTGAAATTGCTGAATTTTTGCTAGTTAAGCGAGATTATCCTCAATAAACAACTTGGAATTTGGGGTCCTAATCACTAATGGGAAGATTCAAACAATTGATACAAATTAATCTAGACTCAGCAGCTAAGTCGATTACGCGGTGGCATTTGAAGTGAATGGTACTGGATGAAAGCCAACTCTGCCACGAGTCCCGAACAAAACAACGCATGTTATCCATCCCACTTCTAGACACCACTCGACTGCTTATAATGCTTGTAACGTAATGACAATATCGGAGCGATCCGCAAATATGGTAAAGAAGACTGGTCAATTGCAGTCCTAAACATGAATGATATTTTAACAATACGAATGAATTTACTTAAGCACATAAACATTGGTACAAGGAGGCACCAAATTTACATGCGTCACACTTTGTCATTCGATTTGTGTGAGGGCTGGGTTACTGTCCGGATGCATCAACTGCAACAAATGGTTTTACTAGGGAGCCACTCTCCAAGCACTTAACCTACAGGTCTGGTCCACAAGGCAGTGGAGTAACTTTAGGAGATACAGTCCTATAGCAGCCGGTAACCACGAGTAGGTTAATGCACTACCTGACCTTTCAGAATCCATGTGCACCATCGGTTTGAAATCAAGTTTCTAAAACTTCCCTGTTTTCACAGTACCCACCAACCCGATTTAGGCGCCGAATATCCGCTTCTCGTCCTCTCAATTTTCCGGCTTCGAGAAAGCAATGAAATGAACCTACTTAGCGGTGGCCATATGAGAGAATTTCGAGAGGGGGTGGGTTCTCCCAACCCCACCATACTAGAGCACTTGGAGGATTGAAGTATGGGATCTTTTAGAAAGTAATAACAACTGAAAGCGTGTGATCACACTATGGATTTTTTTAAAGGTCGACAAGATTTCGTGTGTTATATTTAATTTTAAACAGATTTATTAATAAAAACTAGTGCATATGAACCTTCTGTAAAATCAAATTCCAAACTATGCAAAACCTTTCACAATTTTAAATTTCAAAATCAGTTGAAACTTAATGACATGGTTACTTGTCTTTTGCCGCAAATCTTTGACTATTAGCAAGGCAGTACTTAAGGCAGAGAAACACTAATACTTTACATTCCGGATTAAATTTGTCAAGGATCTGCTTAGATAGCTTTGAAATTATGGTATGGTGTCAGGAAGAGCTGCAAACTGCTGGTGAAGTAAGCCTCTGTGTTGTGAATGACTATTTAAATCATTGGACACTAAGTATTTCATTATTACTTGTGATTATTTTGTAATAGGGCATCATACTTCTGGTTTTGAATTCAGACGTTTTCGGGTCTTACCGCTGCGTTTAAGTGCAATATTACTAGTTCATAGTACTTTTCAATTGTCATACTTTGTTAACAATGCTGCGCACAGCAAGCTAAATAAGCAGACAAACTGAAGAAGTACGAGCTTATTTCCCATCGAGTGACCAAACATACAATTTTTGAATTTGATTACATTTCCATTTTTACAAACTAAAGGGGTGCATATACAATCCTGGATGTCTTAAAATTCATTTATATCAATATGAACATACCGATGATGAAATTGGAAAGCTAATAGTGAGAAAACTTTCTCCATTATAGTAACAGTGGTTTTGCAGAGCATTAGGAATCGTCGTACGCTTTTTCTTCGCATACGTAATCTGTGAGATAGCTTAGAAACTTCGAAACTGATTTACCACTTTATTTTATATATTTAAACACATAAACATTGGTAGGAGGAGGGACCAGATATATATGCACCACAAAAGTCATTTGATTTGTGTGAGGGCTGGGGTACTGCCAAGACGCCAAACCGAGGCAGGTGGTTCACTGAGGCACATGAGCAATGTCAGGAGATGCAGTTCCATGGTAGCCGGTGACCAACACTTAGTTCATACACCTTCTGTTCCCTTAGGACCCTGGAGCTTATATGCACCATTGGTTTGGAATCAGGGTTTTCCAACTCCCCTAGGTGGATTGATCCTTCATATTCACCAACCCGGTTAAAGCACCAGACATTCGCTTTTCGTATTCCCTATTTCGTAAACAGCACCTCCACGAGAAGGCAGTGAGTAGGACTTCTCTGACAGTGGCTGTATACGCGTGGACATATGAGTATTTCGAGAGTGGAGGCTGACTCTCCTCACTGTCAGTCGTACCAGGGCATTTATGGGCTACTGATTTACCAGTCTTTTAATAACAAATTAACATAACTATAGGCATGTCATGACGAAAATATTTTAATATTCTACGATAAAGTATTACAATTATGGTAGATTAAGGTTTTCATCACTGATGGAAGCCAGATCAGAGTGAACTTTAGGATTCTCAGATGAACATGATCCTAAACATATTATAAATATAACTAGTTTATTACTGAACCTACACTAAGTGACTATATACAAGGCCATAAATTAACAGAAAAAGAACGAAAACTATATTACATTATACAAATAGATTTTTTAACATTTTATTAAGTTCTCAAATATTTAGTACTGTCGACGAAGATGAAGGCGATTGTGGAAATTACCTTGGACACCAGTTACTAAATCCCAGTACTTTCTTTGTTCGTTTAAACGTCTCTCAGAATCGGCATTAGATCTATTCTGTATTAAGGCTTTGAAGTCTGGACGTCGTATTGAAACGCTCTTCTGTCCATTATCACGGTTCAATAATTTAGCTCCATCTGTAGCAGTCAAGTGTTGTTTATAAATTGTTCTCATCTTCGATGACCTAGAACAGTACCAGATGGTAACCGTACTTCATAAACGTCTTCATCATCTGACTAGAATTCAATAGATAAGAGTATTGATTAGGAACTCAATGAGTCGTGATGAATTGTAAAATAAATGACTTAGAAATTATAAGATTACATACTAATAGCTATTTATCTTGCAGTAAATTTATACGGCGATTTAAAACTTGTCTCTGCAAAAAATACGAAAGAGGGTATGTATGTGAAGTGACGTTTCAAAATTTTGATTTTTTCCAGGCAAAAATTACCATCTAATTTGTCTCCCTCTTCAAAATACATGAAGTCATACTAATACGAACTAATGATAACTGTTCATACTTCCGTATCTCCAAACTGTCACTTTATTTATCTAGTGTATAGCCTGTCATATTGTGTCACAAAATCTTTCTTTATGAATATACAAGTAGATTAATTTTTGTTCCCAAAAGTAAGGTTATTACTAAATGTCTCGAAATGGAGAGGTTAAACGAGCTAAAGATGAGAAGAAACCCACCGTTGTCCCGTGTATGAGATTGATACAAAAGTGAAAACAAGTAGGATTTTGGTTACTAATGCACAAATCTGATTAACTCAAGATTCTAGTTTACATGAATAAGCTCCTGGATAATTTGAGTAACTAAGCTTCGCTTTAATTCACCAATTAGGGATAAAAAACAACTTACAAGTATGAAAGATGGTGCAAGGACTGACTGATCGTAAAACTGACTAAACAGCTCACCACCTGCAAGAGCAGCCTTAGGGTAATTTATCTTGCAATCGTCATTTGACTCTTCTTCTGCCTTAGCTACCAATAATGCCACTTGGACTGGGTCTTCTACTCCAAACCATACTTGTTTGTGGCTAGGTTTGTCCAACATATGACTGCGGACGGCAGACAGGGAGATCCGAGCATTGTTTGATCCTTCCACACAACTACCGTAAAACTGACGACCACAAGCCAAGCAACAGCGTTCTTCCCCCACAATACGTCCTAATTCAATTAACAACCCGGCAGGATCGGTTAATCTTTCTGGAAATGGAACACTAAATTTGTGCACATCGAACATGTGATTTAGGACACGTTTAGCTAATCACTTTGTTTGACACTATCAAGTGACTCATTTGGCAAATAATTCAGTGATATATAGCGGTCACAGAACAAACATGACCCCAGTGGTAATGGTTCTGTCAAACAGTCTTCTGCTGAAGGTTTAGTAGAACTGATGACTGTCTGCGTAGTTTTCCTAAAGACAATAGGAATAAGTATATATATATAATGGTGATTGGATAGGTGCAAAAAACGTCTGACAATAACGATCGATGTGGTTCAATAATTACCCTCCTTTATTAAACTCGTATTTTTTAATCCCTTGATACTCATAAAAAATAATATGTACCAACAGTGATTTTGAATAAAGCGTCAGAAGAGTGCTGATATTTACGAGTTGAATAAAACTAATATTATGTATCTTTAAGGACCTATACGCAAATCAAATTTGTGTGGTGCATATATATTTAGTAACTCCGCCTGTAGCTCTTCTAGAGTTACTGCCGGTCCCAAGCCCGGGTTGAGGAGAGTTGGGAATGGGGTTGGCGACCCCATCCTGTAGAAAACTAACTCGCTAAAAAAACGCTAACCAGAAAAAATAATCTCAAACCATCAAAACTCTGCCCTGGGAATTTAGAAGAACTATGACGCCTCATGGTGAAAGCCGAGTTCCTTCGGAAGCCACGAGGCCGATGCCCTTCTAACAACCAGAGCAACAATTTTTATAGGTACATGGAACGTCCGAACAATGTGGGAGACCGGGAAGACCAGTCAAATAGCAACGGAATTCAGGAGATACAACGTGGTAGTACTGGGAATCAGCGAAACCCATTAGACCCAAGCTGGACAACAAAGGCTAAATACGGGAGAGATGCTGCTATACTCCGGTCACGAAGAGGAAAATGCTCCACACAATCAGGGAGTTGCTCTAATGCTGTCCAAAGTAGCACGAAATGCACTTGTAGGATGAGAATCTCACGGATCAAGAATCGTCAAAGCATCATTCAAAACAAAGAAGGAGGGGATCACAATGAATATTATCCAATGTTATGCACCCACCAATGATAGCAACGACGACATTAAAGACCAATTCTACGAGCGGCTGCAATCAATCATAGAGAAGTGCCCAAGAAAGGACCTAACTATTCTGATGGGAGATCTAAATGCCAAAGTCGGAATAGACAACACCGGATATGAAGATATCATGGGACGAAATGGACTGGGAGAGAGAAACGAAAATGGAGAAAGATTTGCAAATCTGTGTGCATTCAACAAATTGGTCATAGGTGGAACAATATTTCCACACAAACGTATACACGAAGCTACATGGATCCCACCGGACCACACCACAGAGAACCAGATAGATCATATTTGCATCAATAAAAAATTCCGAAGGACAATGGAAGATGTGAGAACCAGGAGAGGAGCTGACATAGCTTCAGATCACCACCTAGTTGTGGCCAATTTAAAACTGAAGCTAAAGAACAACTGGACAATCAGCACTACAAAGGTTCAATACAGCCTTCCTTCGAGATACTAACAAACTCAGCGAATTCAAGATAGCTCTCAACAACAGGTTCCAAGCCTTGCAGGATCTACTGAAAGAAGAAGAAACTAGTATGGAGGACAACTGGAAAGGTATCAAAGAAGCATTAACTTGGACGTGTCAAGAGGTTCTGGGCCTAAAGAAACACCATCATAAGGAGTGGATCTCTATAGAAACACTGGACAAGATCAAAGAAAGGAAGAAGACAACAATTAACAACAGCCGAACACGAGCAGAGAAAGTCCAAGCACAAGCTGAGTACATAGAAGCAAACAAGCAAGTGAAAAAGAGCATTAGAGCCGACAAGAAGAAATACGTGGAAGAACTAGCAACGACAGCGGAAAAAGCTGCAAGAGAAGGAAATATGAAACAGCTTTACAATACAACGAAGAAACTAGCAGGGAAATATATTAAACCAGAGAGACCGGTCAAAGACAAAGAAGGCAGGCCAATCACTGAAATTCAACAACAGCGGAACAGATGGGTAGAGTACTTCGAGGAACTCCTGAATAGGCCGGCTCCAATGAATCCACCGGACATCGAAGCAGCACACATAGATCTTCCTATAGATGTCAATCCACCAACGACGGAAGAAATCAGGATGGCCATCAAACAAATCAAGAGGAGGAAAGCAGCAGGACCCGACAATATACCAGCTGAAGCACTGAAGTCAGACATCGAAGGAACTACAAACATGCTTCACCTTCTATTCAAAAAGATTTGGGAGGAGGAACAAGTGACGATGGACTGGAAAGAAGGACACCTCATCAAGATTCCAAAGAAAGGAGATCTGAGCAAATGTGAAAACTACAGAGGCATTACTAGAAAGGATTACCCAGGACAGGGGTGGATGGAGAATGCTGGTGAGCGGCCTATGTTCCTTCACGAGGAGTAACAGGCGTAAGTAACATATATTTAGTGCGTTCTTGTACCAATGTTTGTGTTTAAATAAATAAATATCCGAGTTACAAACGTTTCATAGATGCATGAATATGAACAAACATTGGAGATGAGACCAATATCGAGATGAAATTGAGACAAAATCTAAAATACACTGGGAATACAAAAAACATATAACACTTAAGCTCATCACGATACAATAAATGGGAAGCAGAAGTCCAAGTAATGGTTGAGTAAAATTGGGTGCATTCATGACAAAAATTGATATATGTGAAGTGCTCACCTTAAAACGAAACTCAGCCGTTATCTCAGATGTTCATGTTTATGTTTTGATACAGACTGTCATCTATTGCATCTGAAATTCTACTAGTGGTCAAACTTCAGAGGAACTAATTTGTGTGCTGAGTGATGGCTAGTACGACGAAGCTTTGCAAACGTTATAATAAAACCAACTCAATAAGCAACCCGTTGGTATGGAAGAATGTGGATAAAATGTGGATTTAGAAATATAATGCTTACGTTTTGGACAAGTGGCTGTTATGTATATGGCGCTTCGAAACCAAATGGGCAGTAAAAGATTTGTTATTTGCGAAGGATTTCTTGCAGGCGTCGCAATACGTTTTCTAGGATAAAAATATGAAGCAAATTTTTCAAACCTCTATAGCCACAGGTGCTTCCGCAGCAATCAATTGTTTTTTATGTACAAACATATCTTCAGATATTGGCAGTAGACCAGAAACGACACGCTTTAGGTTGTATATATGCCAGTCGCTCCTGACATGATTGATTCTTTCTGAGACAGACACATCAGCCTTACACGACGAACATAAATACGTCATGCCTTTGGTGGGTTGAGTCTTGTTTGAAGGTAGCTTTAGTAGCGATGGAGCGCGCAATGTGACAGCTGGAAATGAAGGCAACGGTTTTCAGTAATAAGGATAGGTCTATCGACCTATATTAATCCTTGCAGTTTGTAATAATGTCAAGGTCCAATCTCGTTTAGAATATATCAACAGAAGGTGCTGATATTACGTGTTCTGGTAGACAATTCCAGTAATTCACTACTCGGTGCAAGAAACGAAACTCCAGACGTAGACAATTTGATCACGGTTTTCGACCTTTCTTAGAATGTCCTCTCAAATTATCAGTCCTAGATGGAAGGAAAAGATAAGACATATTAATACCAAGGTCATCGTTCAGTATACGATAAGCCAATATTAGATCACCCGTATTCTGCGGTAAGATAACGGAAATAAGTTGAGGTGTCTCAGTCTGTTTCAATAAGATAAGCCAGATAGACCTTATACCATTTTAGTACCTCTTCGTTGGACTTGTCCCACCATATCCACCTCGTACCTGAAACAGGGACTTGCTGCTTGAATCCCATATTCCAAATGCGGTCGCACAAAAGTTGGGTATAATAATCTAAACATTTCTTCATCCAAATACTGAAAAGACCGACGAATAGACCATAATACACTATAGCCTTTTGCAGCAACAGCCTTACAATTACTAGTACTGAAATAACTGCTTATTATGACTCCTAAATGTTCATGGTTTCTTACTTTGGGTAACACAAATCCCAATATTGTGTAGTGATACGAATCATCATAGTTATTTAATTGTATCACCACACTCTTGTCAGGATTTACTTCTAGTGACCATCCGTTCATCCATGTCATTGATGAGTTGAGATCATCCTGTAATACTATTCTATCTGACATACTGTTTGTTTATTTATTTATTTGAACACATGAATATTGGTACAAGAGAGCGCCAATATATATGCGCCACACAAAACAATGAGAATTCGAAGAGAAATAGAAAAAAAAACTAAGGAGCGCAAAAGAAAAAGAGAACAATAACGAAGAGATTGGTGTAAGGTAGTGTGGTAGTAACGAGGGAACGGAAAGGTACAATCAGAAGAAATCTTTCAGGTAAGGAGACACAACCACTTTTTATGAAGAAAGTAAAAGAAGGTTACAGCAGGATCGCCACTGGCTTCTATTCTGAGCCATATCTGATAACGTCTCTAGCCACTGTGTAGCACCATCTCTCAGACCCCAACCAGGGAGTCGTGAAGGACCAACACAAGCCAGTCCTTTGCAGCTTTCTTTCATGCCACGACACCATGTCATGCACTGACCACCTCTCCGCTTCTTCCAACCAGTCCCAGAGTCGGCAAATAATGCACGACGTGGAATTCTCTGGGACGACATTCGGAGAACATGTCCAAGCCACCGAAGTCGGTGTTTCAAGATGGTGACACCAATTGAATTATCATCTCTGTGCCCGAACACACGATGCCGAACCTCTGCATTACTGACATGGTGTTGCCACTGAATGTCAGCAATCCTTCGGAGACAGCGATGATCGAACACAGAGAGTCGTCTAACGTCCTCAACTCGGAGAGGCCAGGTTTCACAAGCATAGAGCAAAACTGCTCTCACCGACGCGTTGTAGATCCGACCTTTTACAGCCAGACTAACATCACGAAGGCGCCAAAGGTGGCCCAGATTGGCATAAGCCGCTCTGGCTTTCACTATTCGTGCATTGATCTCATCACTCACACCCCCACCAGCACTTATGCAGC